TGAAGGCCTTTAATTCCTATTCCTGTGTTATGAAACAAGTGCAAACGAGGAGGCATAAGAGAGACTCCTTAAAAAATATTTTCTTGACATTTCCGAATTGTCCTTGCACAGGTGTAAGGTGCAGAGGTAAAACCAAGGTAGTTTAGTTCTGCACTTAAAGAGCCAAAACCAGTTAGTTTTCATCCAAGAAAGATAATGTTCTTTTATGGTATAAAAGCTCTCTCTATCCTTGAGCTATTATCCCCACGAGAAATGTTCTCTGCTTGAAGAGGTTATTAGTGCCTTTGTGCTGGCTTCCTGCAGACTAAGGAAAACCTCCAAGAATATTAATCTTCCCTGCCCTGTACATCTATTCTCCTGTGGCTGAGAGGCTGCCCTGCTAGCTTGGCTTTAGAGCAAGGAGGTGCTTTAAAATAGCCAAGGTTGGGGGTTGTGAAATAAGAGGAAAATTCCTGCTCTGTTTCCTCCTCTCCCAGGGAAAAATCTTGGGGCCTTCCTTGAATATGGGACTCCTTTCTCCCCACTAATTAAACTGACACTTTCCCCTCTGGGTGGCTTTATAAAGAGTCTAATGATAGATTTAAATATGTCAGAATGCTGTAAGTAAAGAGCAAATTCTAGAACTGCTCTTAAAGCAGTCAGGTTTCATAGCTGTGTTGTCCTAAACAGTATTACAACAAAATTTTAGGAAAAAATCTAATGTTAACAAAAAAACTGAGGAAATGTTTTAGGTTTTGTTACTGATTTACTGTAAAGAATTGCATGGAAGGATCTGCCTGTATCCCTACCAGGGTATTTCAGTACAGCCTTTAAGGAAAAATAACAAAATAAGAATTCTTGGCACATGCCCAGGAATAACTGGTACAAAATTCTGCCCAGCCCGAACTAACAAACCATCCCTGGTGGTCTGGCATTTCACCATCATGATCTCTCATAAATCAAACAGCAAGGCTGTGGAGGCTTTGGGTGGTACTAATGAGAACTTGCTGGCAACCAGGCATTCCAGGTGAAATCCAGCCTCCCTTCATGCTTCTGATGGGAGCCACAGGAGCTCCCAGAGTGCTGCTCTTGGTAACAAACCTGGCTAATTGTAGGAAAAGATGGAGAAAAGATCTGAAATCCTTCCAGATTGAGGAATGGACTGTGCAGGAACACCAGGGCTTCCACAGACAGGATTTTAGGGAATGGAATAAGCGTGGAGTGTGCCCTGAAGTGATGTTGAGGTGAGTGGTCTGAAAGTTGATGTAAATGAGTTGGGTTACTTTAATTCAAACATGCTGCTCTTCAGCCTCACTAAAACCATTGCAAAAAGGCAGAAATTGCAAAAAGCTTGAAGGCTTTGTTGAATTTGAGGTCCAGATTTGCAACTTCAAACATAAGAAATACATGGAGAATAAGGACTGTGCCTGATACTGGGCACCACAGAGAGCAGCTCTCCCTTCCCCTTCCCTGAATATTCTTACCCTGTTCCATTAGTCTTTACTGAGGCTGAGAATCCCAGAGAGGACAAAGCTTCTGTTGTATTGTGGCAATAAATGACTTAATTTTGAGGCAGATCACAGATTTGTGCCTGACATTTCTACCTTGCAAGTTTTTCAGCAAACAGTGGAGGAAAGGGAGAAAGACAAAAACCACCATGTTAAATGTTAACATGCTTTTCTTCTCCCTCTGGAGGTAGAGTTCAATAAAATGTATAACAGTTTTAAATCTTGTTCCAATACATTTTTATGTGAAAATATATGAAGTATAGTCTGAAAGGACAAAAGACAAGTCTCATTTGTCCTTTAGGCAAAGGTTTTTAAGTGTTCATATATAAAATATGATTGAGAATACCAGTGACATTTCAACTAGAGACAAAAACAAGGTTAAAAACATTCTGGATTGTCCTAAAAGCAGAAGTTTCATTCCTAGGTTCTTTATGAAACCTAATAAATGAAGTGGTGTGCAATACAATTGAATTGCTGAATACAAATGTACCAAGTTAAAGGGAGAATTCAGCTGGACAACAGTGACCGAATTCCATGGTGTCAGTGGCACTGTGTCCTGGTTTGTTGGTGGTCTTTCTCTTCCAAAAAACAGACAAATGTACAGATTTACTCCTGTACAGGAAAGCTTCCACCTGAACTGTCAATTCTTCGGAACAAGCTCTGCAGCTTGGTTATATCACTTTAAAAATAAAGCCCCAGCCTGGATTCAGAACTGAAATGTGCAGGTGTAACTTTCTGTCCCCGTTTCAAGGAATATTCCTTATGTTTCTAGAAACAGCAATACTCCATCAGAGGGGGCTGTAGTTAAGAAAACAGCACAGGTGAACTCTGTGCATTCACAAAGAGAAAAATACCCTTTGTGTTTCAGGCCTCAGCAGAATGGCTTTGCTCGCTGCTCTTTCACTGCTGCTCTCTGGATTTGGCCAGTTGTGAAGCTGCGAGGTGCAGAAGTGAGGAAACCTCAATTTGTGCCTTTTCCTGGGAGAAAGAGGAGCAGTGTGCTTGTGTCTCAGCCTGTCTGTGTGATGGGACTTGCATTCCAGCTCACTCAATCACTCATCTACCTGTTGCTGCAGTGTTTCATGCTGGCTGCAGCAGATTCCAAGGGGAAAGATGGGACAGGGGGATTTTTCCAGGAATCTCGTAGGAGATTTCTCTCTTATTGTCTCTTACATTGCTTTCCCTGGCCAGTGCAGTTGTGGGGGTGACTGAGCCCCTGATGGAGCAGGCAGGAGATGCACGTGGGCAGAGAGGATGGAAACTCTGGAATTCTCCTAGGTAATGCAACACATCTCAGCTTTGAGGTTCTGCTGGGATAGAGCCACCCCAGCTTGGGACAGTGTTGGTTAGCAGTGTGGAGCAGTCTGCTGTGTGCACTCTTCAACGCTGATAGTGGCACAGTGCATTTTTTGGGAGGCTGATTTTGTTTGAGGAACCAATAGAATGACTTTGCAGTCGTTGGGGGTTTCATAGCTTGACCTGCAGCTCTCCAGCAGGTCAGGTTGTAACTCGGTGCAGGCCACAGCTGGCTGACAGGTTGGATGGAATTATGAGTTGCTGGATAAAAAAAGCCCCTCTTTAGATGTGTCCCCTGACTTTACATTCCTAATGTGTGATGTATGCCCATGTTCCTTATTTACATTTTATTTTGAACAACTTTTACCAACTTGTTACCAAGGTATAATTTCTTCTTCATAGCACTAGCTATTTATTTGGATTTTGTTTTTTTTTTTTGGGTATTGTTTGCAATCCAAACAGGCCTTTTTGATACATTAGCACTTGAAAAAGAGATGTCCTGCTCATGTAAGGAATGCCTCTAGAGAAGGGCAGTCCTGCATAATTTCCAGTTCTCTCAGAGAAACCCTTCATATTGGAGAACTGGGGAATATTACTTTCTGGCCCTGCACACTCTCCTGGGTAGAAGGGTCCTGAAACACAATTTATTGTAAAACACACAGTGGTTACAGAGCTAGCACAGTCAATGATATTCCTTTTATTACCACTCAGATGAGAACACAAAATGACATTGGAAAGCAGTGAACTCACCAGAAGGGCAGAGAAAGCCATTAAATTCAACACGCATCATATTTCATAATCAGAATCCTGCAGTCAGAGCTGACACCACTGAATGAGTTTGTTGCAGTCATGATAATATAAAACCTGCTGCATCTGCTTCCCTTGGCACTTTTCTTTGTAGCCCCTTGCAGTGTACGGGCTATTAATCATCAGTAGCCAGGGACACTGCAGACCAATGCACTTTGTATTGCATAAATTGAAAATGCATCACTATTAGAGAGAAAACTGCCTTCCCTACATCTCTATTTAGATAGGCAGTTTCCTGAAGAGCTGCCATGCTATTATGGCTAACCACTTAATTGGAGTTCTTTTCACAGCCTGGTAATTGGGGTTGAGGTGGGGGGAGGATAATGCAATCCCTTTTGTAGCACTCAAGAAAACAAGGCAGGGAGAGAGTTCCTTGCCCTACCTGGGAACCCTGACAGGGCTCCAGCTGGAGGTGAGAAAATGCAGAAATGATCATTTCACCTCCCTAAATTGGCTTGACAAAGCAGAGGGCTGGGTGTAGCTGTGGGGGGAGAGGGGTGCTGTGCCACTGGTGCCTTCATGCGTTTTCAGTGGCTGCATGGAGTGACAGCTGAGCCACGGGAGGGCTGCTGCCTTTCCTCCCATTAGCTCTCTTCACAGAAGAGAGTAAGGCTAGCTTTAGGAGGATAAAGAAGTTTTAGTGGCAACCTGAGAAAAGACAGTTGTAAATCCAGCCCTCAGAGGTGCTCTTTTTAAAGAGAACCCATTTTATTCTACAGCCATTTGTCCAAGTTTTATACGTAAAGAGGAAAGATGAGCATCTAATGAAAGTGGGACATATAAAGTAATTTGTAAATGAAATTACAGCTTTTAAAGCACTTGTGTTTAACTGTACATTTCTTCATAGTTGGAGTATTTTCTCTTGAATGGCTGTGGCCAGTGTTTGGAACTTCATCATCTTTGGTTATAGCTGCCTACACTTAATTCTCATTACACCTGCCATACTCTGGGGATCTTGTTTCCCAGTGTGTGCAGTGATGGATCAGCAGGACATGAGCCTGAGCTGAATGATATGAACTTGTGTTGAATCCCACATCTTCTGACACCTGCTGCTCAAACACAGGTGTATCAGCTGAACTGCTCTGGCCAGATCCAAATCAGAACCGAGTTTAAATTGGGATTTATAGACAAAGTTAGTTCTGAACTGTGATCTTCAGCCTCTCCCAGCTGCTCCCTCACATGGATGTTCTTACATTTCAGCTCCTTGACGATGAAGAACATGGAATCATAGAACCATGGAGCATCCTGAGCTAGAAGAACCCACAGGAATTACTGAGTCCAGCCCCTGGCCCTGCACAGACACCCCAAAAATCTCAACCTGGGCATCCCTGGGAGCTCCTGGAGCTCTGGCAGCCTCAGGGCTGTGCTCCTTCCCTGGGCATTTTCCTGATATCCAGCCTAACCCTCTCCTGGCACAGTTCCAGCCATTCCCTGGGAATGCTGTTCAGTGCCTGACCCCACTCTGGGGAAAAACCTTTTCCTCATATTGCCATCTTTAACTGGAGGTAACAAGGAATATGTGATATATTAAAATAATTGGGTTGCTTTCTGTGCTGTAATCAGGAAAGGAGGAAAACTGTATTTCATGTGAGTTCAGCACTGGGCAGGCTGAGCTGTGGCTCTGGGACTCATGTCTGTGTCTAATACCCAACCATTAATTCTACCTATAGAAAAAAAAGGAAAAATGCATTTAGGGAGATTTTGTATGCTCTCTGCTGTCAATCACAAAGGACTCTGAAATCTTGAGTGCTACTCGATCTGATTTTAAAATGTAAGTAGCTACAATAACCACATTCAAGTTATGAAAAAGCCCTTTTGAAAAACAAGCAATGCTGTCTGCTCAGACTATTGCTGCTGCTCAGTGTTGGTTTCTACAAAGTTACCTATTCAAAAATACTGAAATTTTTCCTCTTTAAAACCAGGCATACAAACCCAAATCCACACACATTTAACGTTATTTGTGCATGGAAGTATTTTGTTGAAAGAAATAAATTATGCAGAGGTTTCCTAAATAATTTAGCAGATAGAGTAAGCAAAAATTACGACTTTTTACAAAACACCCTCAGCTTGCTGGCATTTTGTTCCTGTGGTAACACATGTGGATTCTGTGTTTTGAGGCTTTAATTTTAATCACACAGTATCCTGTCCTTTGTCAGAGCAATGTTGCAGATGCAATGTCCCAAAACCCTGTCAAATTCTGTGCATCCTGTAAAAGTTTCTCCTGTAAATTAAACATTAACATTGTTTTTCATACTATTGAAAACATTTTTCATTGTGATTGTGATTACAGTAACTGTTCCCTACCAAGAGCTGATCCTGCTGTGGGAGGGAATGGGCAGGAACTTCAGGATTCACAGTTTAGGAGCACATTAAAGTGAGCTGAGGAGTCAGACAGTGGGACACTGCCAGAGTCAGGAAGAGAAATTACTCATTTCAAATTCTAAAAATCCTGACTCATACCCATCTGCACATTATTTCTCTAGGATGACGTGTCCTGCTGCATCCTTTGAGATGAAGCACATCAGAGGAGATACCCACTGTTGGCAGTGCTGCAGAGAAGAGAGTGGACTGCACAGCCACTGGCTTGCTTAAGATCACTCAGCAAACTTTCTTTTCCTTCCCTTTCTATCTTTACTTTGTATTCATTTGCCTTTTGCTTTCTTGAATGTGCAGAATAACAGGAAATGGGTTTGCCTGCCTTGGAGTGCAAGAGTGGAAGAGCCTTGGTCTTGTCCCTGGCAAGAGGCAGCACACAAGGGAAGGCCATCAGGGTCAGGCTGAGTGTCTGTGCCAGCCCCAGCTGCTCTGTGGGCATAGAAGGAAGGTAAGAACTGAGCTCCCAAGGTGAAATTGCTTCACAGGTGCTGAGAACAGAACAGTTTGTGTAACACCACCTGTCTGCCCAGGGCTGTGCTACAGACACAGTGTAGTTCTCTCCATGGTGAAACTGCTCATGGATTTGACTTCACTCTCTGTGTGGGAGTAAATTGAAGGTGAATTCAGTGCCACTGCCAGGCTGTGGGGTTCAGGCTGGCCTGCTCTGCTGGCAGGGAAGGGGGGCAGTGCTTGATGTGAGCTGGCTCAGCCTGGTGCTTTACGCACTTGAGGGGTGTCAGTGTGGATCACACACTAAAATCACCCCCAGGGATCTGCCTGGGAGCAGACTGTGCTCTGAGAATCCTCCTCCTGGCACCACTGAGCTGCTGACTGGGTGCCATTCCCCAGCTCCAGGGGACACTGAAGGATCCCCTCTCAGGCTGCAGTTGTGTGTCCCTCTGGCTCCATGGAGTCAGCTGGGAGTGGCTCCATGTGGCAGCAGCCTGGTATTTTCACTGTGGGGAAAACACAGCTCTGAAATCACCTCGTCATTTCTGTGAAACAACATGTTCAGGATGGATTACTTACTTCTGGAATCTCTTGCAGCTGAAAGTGGAGCTGTTTAAAGACTTACAGGAGCAGTGAGTCAGGGTCATCCACGTAAATCACTGCCTGCTGACAAGAGATGTAACAGTTTGGCTTGTTAGGAAAGCATGCACAACTGGTTATGTTGAAATCTTAATGGTGCTTTTCCTTATTATTTGATACAGCTAGTAAAAAAAACCCTCAAACAATAAAACTCCCTCACCACAAGCTTTAATTATTTTATGGAGTCAGCAGAAACATCTCGAGACTTAACATTTGGAAAAAAGCTTCAGCTGATCAAAAACAAATCCCTCCCTCTGTGTATGCACAAATACTTGATTTGCATTCATTTAATATTTCAACCAGCTATATTTGGAAAAATTATTATTACTAGCTTCCCTGTCATCTCCCGTTCTGCTGAGCTCCTTTGCCATATTGTAGGCTAAAAACATTAATGCAAATACTGAATGTACTTTGTAGGAACACCAGTCTTCTTTTTCTATTCTGCAATTTTTGTTTCCATTATGGAAAACATTAGGAAAAGAATACTTAATACTAAAAATATAGTGAGTTCTTTTAAGTTATATGGGATTGAATGTGGAAATGAGGTACCATTTTATTTGAAATTCATGTTGTGACTGAGTACAGTCCCTTCTTCCAGCCATACCATTCATCCTCAGGCCCCCAAGATAATAATGTTGTTTGATTTGTAAATTTTAACAACCTGTGGTTTTGCAAATATAACTCCAATTCCATGTACTGGTTTGAGTTAGATTTATAGTATAAAGAAATTGCCACTTAGAGTGAATTTCTCTTGTAGAAATTCCAAACGTGGCTCTCCTAAAACACTAAATGCCCCCCCTTCATTCCAACACATAACACGTGTTTGCAAAGCAAAACCAGAATTATAACAGCAGTTTTCACAGCTCCAGCTTGTAGTATTGCTGCAGAGAATATCACAAGGCTCGTGTTAACCAGGCAGAGAGGAAGGAAAAGGTCAAAATTTTCCTCAAAACAACTTTGTCTGAAGTAACCCCCACAAAAACAGAATCAAGAACGTTGTTGGGCATAATCACAGATCAGTGTTTTCTATTAACAGCAGCTTGTAGCAGTTCCAGGTACTGTGGCAGTGCTCATTAGAGAGAAGCCCCAGCACAGAGTGTTTGGAATTCCTCCTGCTGCTGTTTACACTGTGTTTTGTCAAGGGCCTTGTCAGCTTTTGCTCTGCTGGGTTTTCCTTGAGCTCTTTAAAAATCCCTCTTCAAAGTTACATGGCTCTTAAAATCAAAGTAAAACAAAGGCCTAATATCACTGTTTAATATTTGGATTAAACTGCGGAGTAATAATTTGCATTAATTGTAGCTTATTAATTGCAAAGGACAACATCTTGTTTTGTTGTACTTAAAGATTTTATTAGTAACAGACACTTTTAGTTAGTGTTTGTTGCCCCAAGAGCTTTAGAGGAACTGATTTTCTGTCAGAAAAGATTGGAATCAATTGCATTTCTCCCTTCCAGATAGTGCTAAAACATTTATTTAAAGGTTTATATGCTCACCCTGCCTTATCTGTATTCCAAGTCACTTGTCCAATGAAATAAAATTCATTCATGCCTTCCTTCACTGTGTTATTGACAAAGTAAGCTTTATGTGGCTGGAAGCCAAAATTCTGTCTTTTGGGAATACCTCTCTCTAAACTTGTCCAAAAGAATTATTTTATTGCATTTTTCATGCCACTTCAAGAGTGTTTGGATGGTAAATCCTAGAAGCTGGGCTGTCTGTGACCATATCAGCCTTTTCAATTAGGAGGAAGCACAGCATGATCTAAGTATGAGATTTTAAGGAGTGTGTGTGGCTATGCAATTCTTAATAGAATATTTTTTTTCCCCACATATGACACTACTTGATTCTCCTATTGAAGAATTAGGTCAAATAATTATTTTTAAATGCCTGGCATAAAAGTGATGGAAAGTTTGCCATCAATGAATGTTCTCTGTGAGCAGTATGGGGAGAGCAAGTGCTAAAAACTAGTTGTGCCATGTTTAATTTGAGGAAATGGAACATCTGCAGCTGCTGTGTCCAGCCCTGCAGCCAGTGCTGCAGGAGCCACATCCAGCTGGCTGTCAGGGTGGGATACAGAAAAGCTGCTGTGATCCAGGTGCTTTCTCTTATACAAAAGATAGAGCAGGTCATCACCAAGTTAAATATTTAACAAAGCAGAGCAGCCTGGCCTGGCAGCCACAGAACTGCTGGAAGAGTCCAGAAACACAACCCAGGTGTCACTTCCCTTCTGTGCTGGCACAGAGATCCTGTAAAGCCAACGAGAGGGAAAGAGGAGAATTCAGCAGTGGTGTGCTGATCTGAGACTAGAAGGTGGCAGAGGGAAGCAGTGAGGTTTCCTTTCCTTCTGTCACTGAGCGCGTTCCCAGAGCTGACCCTGGAGAGAACAATGTGCACAGAGGCACTGGGATATCACAGCACTTAATTCCACTGCCTCCACCACTAACTAATTAAAACCCCTCTGATTCTACCAAAGCCCTTCCTCTCTATTTTCATTTCCTTTCCAAACAGGAATTCAGTTTAAATTTGACAACCTTTGGGAACTCTGCAATAAATAAGACTATTTAAGTTGTTCTAGAGCTTTCTTAAGCTTTCCTCAGAGAAACTATCCACACGTTCAGAAACGTGGATGAACTGAGAATTGAAAACTGGATAGATCTAATTGTTTAAGTTCTCACAACTGAGGGTGGAGAGGAGGCTGGGAAAGAGGAATTAATCCCATTTCTCTTCCAGAAGCTGCCTTCTCTCTAGTGATGCTCATGAGATGAGCCAGCTTGGGGAAGCCCAGTTATGGGAAGAGGTGACACCAGCAGCCCCCACAAGCCTGAGGTACCCTGGGCTGCAGAGGGTGGGAGCTCTCAGCTGTGCAGGTGAGACAGAGAGCTGTAGCACAAATAATTCACTAATGAATTGGCCTCTGCCTCAATAAGCAGAGTGTCTGTAAACTCTCTAAGGTGATGCCAGGCTGGGCACTCTTGGCCCAGCCCAAGCCCAAGTGACTCACATTAATAAGCACCAAATCCATTTCTCATAGAGATGAGAATAGAGGTGAGAGAAATGAACCCTTCCCCTTGGGGCACTCACCCGAGGGCACAGAGTTCCTCTCCAGCCCTTGGGGTGCTGCTGAGGGGCTCCCCCACGGTCCCCAAGGGTGAGCTCAAGGCACAGATCCCTCCTGCTGGCCCAGGGGCAGCTGTGGGCTCAGCAAATGTGATGGAACACATCCCATACAGCAGGAAATGGAATCTCAATGGAGAATGGGAGCTCCTAACAGAAATCAAACTCATTCACAAGCCAGATGTGTCCCAGGAGCTGGTTTGCAGTGACCTCGTTTGCCCTCTGCTGTTACACCTTTGTCCCAGCAGCACTATTCCACAGGCAACAAACATTTTAAAATAGCTTCAGATATGACTAATCAAAGACAAAATGTTGCTTTCAGCTGCCACTTGGCAGCTTTCACCCTTCTGGTGGGTAGGTGGTTTAAAGAGGTAGAAAGCAAATATTTGGATTCTGGAAAAACTCTTACTGCACCTTGTTTGTGTGTTTATATTAGATTAAACTAGCAGCTGAATGGATGAGTAATTCTAGAGAGATGGATACATAGAAAGTAAAATGATCATTTTGTGTTCAAGCCAACTTGCTAATGCAAAGCTGATACTCTCCTGATGGGCCAAAGTCATTTTCCTTATGATTATGAAGAAACTCAAACATGTTTATGTGGAGTTTTCCAAATTGATAAATTAGGAAGGGAGGATTTCTGCGCTGAAAAATAGGCAAGTCTCCCAGCCTTCATCTTCCAGAACATTGCCAAAGAAAGACCTGTCCAGAAACTACATTGCCTGTGTTGTTTCTGCTTATTTTATGAGGGGATCCTCTGAAATAAGTTAAGACTAGGATCTGAATTTGACAGACCTGAATGCTCTTTGCTGTGAAAATGCTGGGCCAAAGTTTGTCTAGCAACCTTTGACATATAAAGAAGGCTGGTACTTGCCATTTTCATTTCTAAATGTTGTAAATGACAGCAAATTTGATAGGATCTATTTTTAGATCTCACTGTAAACGACAGTTTCAGAGAATAAATCAATTTTCTTCTCCCATACTTTTGGTTTATACTCCTTCCCCCAGCAAATGTCTAATTTTAATGTTTAATAAACATCTTTAAATGAGCCTTCCCCTCTATAATCCACCTCCTATGTTCCTGGTTTATACTGAAATTAATAAGTTCAGTCTATTTACCATACTACTTAAAATAATGCTTTTAATGCTCTGTACAACTTCATTGTCTTTTACTAGGAGTAGAAAAGGCATGGAATTAGGGAATGATCATCTTTGATGGGTCTGGGTTCAACACCAGAGACTTCTAACCTATGAGTCCAAGAACAGAAATGCCAGTAAACAGATTTGCAGAAGTGCTTGATCTGTTTTCCAAGAGCATTAATTTTCATTTTTATCCTGTTTATCCTTCTGTGTAATAATTCCTCATTCCTGATTTGGAGAGGAGAACCATGCATTATCATTCAGAATGCCACAAAATTCAATTAAGGGCTGGCTACAGCATCCCTTCTTGGTTTGTGAATGTTTCTGGTGAGAAAAGCAGATGACTTTTTCCATCACACAGCCTGCCTGCTAATTTTAACCGAGCAGACAGCCTTAAGCTATGCAAGCTATCATTAAACAATAAAGAAACATTAATAAAATGGCTCAAGGGGTAGTCTCATTCAGCCAGGGGTGAAACTATCCTTTGAACATTTTAGGGAGTGAGGACATAATAGTGTCACATCTCAGATAATGGAATTCCACATCCACCAGGCTCCAGCCTCTGGAAGCTCAGCTTGCTCCTCCAGCTGGATCCTGGCAATTCTGCTGTCTGTCAGTCAAGTGTCACCACTCTGCTGTCAGCACTACAACCATCTTCACCTCACAGGTGTACAGGCACCTGTCAGCTTGATGGAAGCAGGCTGTATATAATGACAGGATGAAATGTTGATTCTGCTCCTGTGACATCATTATTATCATTTTTAATATGTATGTTTCAGTTTACTTTTCAAGATGACCAAAAGTTTCCAATGCAAGCTTTAATTTCTCTTATTTAGAAACCCTGAGATATCTTTAGGCACTTGGAAAATGCCTCACTTTCCCCCACAAGTATTTCATGAGAATTTTCTGACTTCTACCCACTTAGTAGACTTAAAAACTTAGTCATGTTTTTAATTCTTTACTTCATGACTCGAGGGAGAGAGGCATGGATTAAATGTTCTATTTAAAAATGCTTTGACACATTTTGTTGAAGCCAAGACAATTCTGTTGAAGTATTATCATGATTTACTTGAGGTAAATCAGCAAATAAATCATGTTGCCCCATAGGGCCACTCAGCTGAGAGTGTGTTTTATAAACACTGAGCCCTATAGCGGCAGCAATTGGCACATTTCCTTCAAGTCAGAGATTACACACTAAGACAGAGACACTTAGAGAGCTGCTGCTGGTGGTGTCTGAGCCCCTAGGCTTTGTTCAGGCAGCTCCAATCTGAATGGATCACTTCCTTACCAAAGGAAACAACAACAAGAAAATCTCTGGAGTGCAGTGCGAAGTGTTTTCCATTAATGGCAACGTGAACGTTATTGCTGAGCCGAGTTATGCCAGACGATTGTATGCAGCAGAAGGCAATTTAATTCACCAGAATTTTCCTGTGCTTTCCCCTCCAGGTTGAAAGTCTGATCAGATGCTGGCTCTACATGCAGAATCATTGAGTGAGTGCAGCAGCTCCTGGGAGAGCACAGAGCTGCATCAGGCAGCAGCTGGAGCATCCCCAGTGCTGGGGGAGCAAACGCTGGGGCTGCGGTTCCCCACTGCTGTCCCCAGCCCTCAGCTGCTGGGGGAAAGCAGGGCCCAGAGGCAGAAGGAAAAGGTAAGTTGGAAGTAAGTAAGGAAAAGGCTGTTGTGCCCAGGAATTCCTGAATTCCCAGGAAAAGGCGACTGAGATTTCCCCCCTGAGGCCACGCTCACACAGGATACAAACTGCTAACATGAACAAGGATGGTATCACCTTGATCCATTATTATTATTTGAAATGTTGAGTTGTTGATTTTAGCATATTTACCTGCTGAACATTTAGAAAAGCCTTGGTTTAGGTATATTTTTAAAGAAGAATGGAAAAAAAAAGCTATCCCGAGATCCTTGGTTTTCATTTCATAATGACTTTTAAGAACTCTTTTAATTAAATTATTAAAAAACAAAATAAAATTGCTTAAACTGAGAGGAATACCTCATTTTCTTGAATATAGTTTTTCAATAATGAATTTTTCAACAGAGTTGTATTAAAACAGGACTACTTGCTAACAAGAACCTGCCATCATGTTTAGAGTGATATTCTAGGGTATTACTAGTACTGTGCTAATAGCTTCACAAGCAGTTAGTTTCTCAAAAACAGATTTAACACATTTCCAAATAGAAAATGTGTGTATTATTTTGTGGCTTAAATCTGTTTTATCATGCTATCACTTCCAAAATACTGAAGATATAAAATGGTTTATAGTCCAAAAGATAAAGCAGCACAAGCTGCTATGTTGGAATATAAGAAAGGATCTGAGAAAGTGCTAAAAGCTATTATTACAGCTACAGAATGGACTTGTAAATCTTTTATGCAACTTGATCAGTTCCCCTTGGAACCACACTGTATTGTTTCATAAATAAACACCCAAAGTTGCTGTGCACAGTGTTTCTGGTCTATCACACACTGCTTTTGTGCTAAACTGTAAACTACAAACATTCCCATGAAAACTCCTCGTTTGCAGCCGGTGGATGCATCCTTGTGACAGTCAGCAGAGCCTTCACATCCTCCCTCAGGTGAAGTGCTGCAGCTCACAGCCCCACTGGGAGGAGCAGCGTGATTTCCTGACCTTGAGTTTGTCCATGGTAATGAGATTTAGGGGATAATTCCCCTCCTGCATTGGTTTCTTTTTACAGGAAGAAGCAGTAGAGAATAACCCTCCATTTTTATCTGCTCTACCATCACAACTCCAAAAGCCTCCCCATGCTGGCCTGTCTTTGCCTGCATTTAAAGCATCCAGTTCCCTGGGTTGTTGCTCAGGATTCTCAGCCAAACCTGGCAGGTAAGTTTGCATTTATCCATTTCCAGTAGAAATGGATAATTTCCTTCTGCTAGACCATTATTTTCCAGCTCATTTTTAAAATGGACTGCTCTTCAGAAGATCATCTGATCACTGGTTACAGATCAGTGATTTAAGAAGGACAAAGCTCTACATCCTGCAGGTTGGAGCCCCCAAAATGCCCTTGTTGTCCCAACTCCTCACACTTGTGTCACATTCACCCTCCTCCCCACTCAGGAAGATTGCAGAGATACCTGACAGAGGAAACACAGCTTGTCCAGGGGATTTTCATGGCTTGGTTGCAGCTCATATGATGTGCTCCCCAGTAAACTACAATCTGAGATTGTTCAACTCTAAGCACTGCTTTTGATAAAAGTAAAATTAAAAAAAAACCAAACTGACAACTCTGTGAGGATGTGGAAGAGGTGAAGATGCACTCTGATGAACAGTGGGAAATGAAATCACACAAAGGTAGTTTCAGAAATAAGGACTCTTGAAAGGAATTGTTGGAGAGTCTGTGGAGTCCAAGACACATAAAAAGCATCTAAACTATAAATATTGAAAAAAATCTTTTGGTAAGAGAACAAAACATTTTAAGTGCTGCACAGGAAAGAATGGAAATCTGTGCAGTGTAATTGTGCATTTTATAATTCTGAATTAGTGACAGAAAGGTAAAAAGGGAAAATTGGTGTAGTTATCTTTTCAGGGCACTGATGAGAGGTATTCTTTAAATGTTCTTCCCCGAGTCAGGATCCAATACTGAAGTCAAGTAAGACAAAACCATCTGCAGCTTGCCATTGTGGAGAAAGTGTTTCAGACTGGGGAATGGGACAATTTAACCCATCATCTTTTCCAGAAGAGAAAACCCATGGCTGTCTACATGGACCACTTGGTGCACAGATGGTGGTACCTCAGAGAACAAGATGTGAACAAATGGAAGATTTGGCACTTTTAAGAAAAACATCTGTATAAGCTCTGAATGAGCACTACCCTTGCTGCCATGGAGTGGCAATAATCTCAGCATGCAGCAGCAAATAATTTGTCCCAGAATGGTTTAAATTTCTTAGCCTAAAGCAGAAATTCCAGTCTCCACCCCTGAAATGCCTCCAGGCTGTTCTGTTGGCCAGAGCATGAGGACAGCTTGGAGAGAGAGGAAAGAACTCTCAGTGCATGAGGATCAGCTGGGATCCAGACATTCATGGAGAAGCTCCTGCTCTTCTCTGAGCCTCCTGCTGTTTACACAGAAAGGATCATTAGCTGTGTCTTGCAGAGGAATTGAGAGATTTGCTGTGAGTCTCACATGGACTTGAGCCAGAAACTCAGCACAAAGGCCTGAAAGTTGAACTTCAACTGCCTGAAGGCTGGAGCCATCCAGAACAGGGCAGTGGATGGACCACAGGACTTGTTACAGAGCTGTGCTGGTCTGAAATGAGCTGAAGGAATGTCTGCAGTGGCATTTGTGCAGCTGAGCCCCAGCCTTGCATTGGGACCCTTTATTTTTCCCTCAACAGATGGAGAGTTGAAGAGATACTTTCAAACCTGATTTCATGTGACAGGTTACAGATCCAACCTCTGTTCCTTGAGGACTAAACCAATGGTTCTGCACCTCCAAAGGAATCTGCAGGAATTCAGACACAAACCAGAAGCAGTTTCAATGTTGTGCCATAGTTTGAACCACTTCTGAGCAAGACAGAAGAAATGAGCAGCCATTTAGAGCATGTGCTGCTGTTAAGGCTCATGAGCTCTACCCATGTAGCAGCTCTTAAGGATATAAAGTGGACTTGAACAATAACACTGTTATTGTTCAATTTCCTTCCCCTTCATGCCACTAAAGGTAAAGTTCATCAAGTGTCTTTCATTAGAAGCCATGCAAAAAATGCACTGCTGCTGTCTCATTACATGTTTAGAAGGATTCCTTCATAAGGAAATGAAAGAGAAATAAAACCTTTGGCCCCACAGTCGAAGGAAAACCCAGAATGTTTCCTGTATGAGTGAAAAGCAAACACTGAAGGAATAAAAGTGGATATATAGGAGCGTGTGCCTATGCACACTGACAAGACATAATTTAAAGAGCTATGGGGCTGCTGAATCTGAGGTCACTTTTGCTGATATCTGTTGAAAATCACTGTAACATAACTCATACCCCAGCACAGAAAGATGTCAGGGAGCAGCAGCAGAAATACAGCTTGGAAAGATTTGTCTTCACAGATGGTCTAAATTGTACCACAGAGCACAGACTGTGTTTTCTCCTACAGCATTTTGCAGGTTGTGTATCCTGTGTTCCCAGCTACAGAGTTAGGAGATGGATCCTGAAATAAATAATTTCTTAGTGCCAAGTCAGCAAATTTTAGACTAGTGAATGAGCCTTGACTCAACATGACTTTCTCTGGGTGCCAAACCAGACCTTATGGTAGGACAAGCTAAGATCTACCAGTTCTGATTTCATTGCAGATATCACAGAGAACAAACAAACACTGAAGGAGTGGATATATTGGTCAGTGCTCATCAGGACCAGCTGCCAGCTTCTTACTGAGCCAGATGTGCTGATTTAGGTTAGGTATGTTCCGTTTTGTTTTGAAACAAATGGGCCTGCATTGCAGTGACATGAAGGGTCACAGGGCCAGCAAATTCTGAGGAATTACAGGGCTTTTCTGAGTCTGCCACATGTACTGAAGAGTACCTTGCAAAATCTGTGCCACCCTTCATGGTCCTCCACTCATTTGGTTTTCCTCATGGATCTTTCTTTTGCTCACAGATCACCTTCAGGATTCCTATTTACTTCCTCTGTACTGATTTTATCCATGAAGGAGTCTGGCTGCCTGCAGCAGCTCATGTCTCTCCTCTTCCTCAGCAGATTCCTTGGTATGTTCCCATTCTAATGTGATGCATGATGTCTGCTTTGATTGCCTACTGGTCAGAAGTAGTTTATCAACAATCCTGTGAATGTATCAACTCTCACCAGCTTAGAAAAAGAAGAGCAGAATTTTCTAGTACCTTTTCAGTAACCCATAAAAATTCTTTTGGCTTTTGTTTGTGTGGCTCCTGGAAAGTGAGGGGTGTGAGAGAAAGGTAGAGCCAGTCCATAGTCTACTATGAAAATTAATGGGGAAAATAATGTTGCATACAAACCAAGGAAGCTGCACTGCATGGGAAATAGAGCATGAAAAGGATTTGTGCTGTGATGTCAAGATTAGAGACAATAAGCAACGTGAATTAGCAAGTGGAATGCAAATATTGTACATTCAAGTGTAACTTCAGTGTAATATCAGAGATGTGGGTTCATAAGGAATTAGAGCATCTCTAAAATAATATTCGAACTTGTGCTCTCTGCAGACTGCAGCCCATGCACTGTGGCTTAGGTGGCCCCAGCCTTCAGTGAGCTGATGCTTTCTCCTTACTTTTTTTTGTCAGTATTTATTGCATGAAATTAGAGATTTTGTTTATGCAGATACATTGCATTTAGGTCAGTGACTCGCTTACAAGAACATGTGGAGGTGGACACGTCCTGGCTTTGGACAGAGATGGCAGCAGCAAAGCTTCTGGTGCTTCTGGAGGGTGAGAGCTGAGCAGCACAAACATCTGAGGGTGGGGACAGTGCCAGGTGGGGCAGGAACCACAGACTGCACACCCTGCCTTCTGCAGTTCTTAGAGGATGAATGAACAGGACATCTTTCAAGAGAGATGATTTTTAATAGTGCACCATTATTTAGTTTAAAGGGTGCAAAACCACCTTGCCCCTGAATGTGGAACCCAGAGTTGTATAAAACATGGTGCACTTAACAATAAAACAACAATTTAAATGATTTACTGAATCAGGGCTGTGATATGCTAAAAGCTTTCCATAACTGAAGGGGTTGGACTGGGAACCTCCTGAATGCAGACAAGAAAAATAAGTTTTCTTAGGACAGGCTCTAGGTCTCAGCTTGTCTGTGCCATTCATGTCCAGTGGTAAATTTAAGGATGATCAGCATTACCTCCTCATTACCAGGCTCTCTGCTTGTGAGCTCCAGACTTGAATACAAAAATGAGAGGTTTAGGGCTCACACCATATAATTCCTTCCTATTTTTCCCTAATTTGCAGGTTTAATGCCACAGAAATTGTCTTCTCTCACCCTCATTACTTGCCCTTTCCCCCATAAATTGTGTAGTTGAATTGCAGTGACTCCACTTGTCTCAACAGCTGTCTTCTGTGTGCATTGTGCTTCTCCACTTGACCCAAAATCATCTCAGTACTTCATTTTTGGAGGCATTTAATTGCTTTTCCTTAAGGAAATTAATTCCTTCCTTGTAGAAAAAAGCCAGCTTCTGTTTTCCACTTTTTTTGGGCAGAGAGGGGAGGAGGAATGAAGTGGGTGATTTGGGTTTTTAAATCAATGAACTGCCAAGCTACAGTACTAGTGCAGAAGGGCAAGTATGTAATTTTCTCAGTAGCAAATATAGCTACATGTATCTAAATCTGAGCCATTCATCAGCTCCTTTATAGGATAAGACAGGGCTCAGAAATGATTTTCTGTTTAAGTACGTAAGATCAAACATGTTTGTCATTTTAGCCTTCTCTTTCTTCTATCTGATTTCAAGATCTTCAGACTCTCTTTAGATGTCATTGCTTCAAGCTTCTGCTTTTATCACATTAACCACTCTTCATGAGCTTTTCCACATCAAAATGTATTTAGATACATTGTTGAAGAGAGCACACTTGTGAAGACCTCAATAAAAAGTTAGAGAATTTGTGCCTGAAACTTCATACAAACACACTTAGAGGAAATAAAAACATTGAAACAAAAATGAAACACCCTAACAAAAATCCACAATGCTTCACTCACATTTTGCTTTTTCAGAGAGAAAAAAAGATGTTTTCCTTATGTTTGAATAGAGCTTTGTGTGCAAAACTCCAGACACAGTGAGCCATCTCCTGCCTGTCAGATCCTTGTGTTTGCTGAGGTTAGGGCTTTTGTGGTTTTGAATTCTTCTCTTCCTGCTCTATGAGGCAGAGTGTTACACCAAACTCTACTTAGGAAGACCTGCACTTTCTAATGAATTGTCAAGGCCTTTATTGAGCCACTTCTTCAGGTGTCTGTGGATCTATTTGAGTTTTTGACTAGAGAAAATGACATGCAGGGCATTGAAGCTCTCATCCCTCACACATGCAGGATTGGGCTCAGCTTTGGCAGGAGCCGTGTTTGTGCCTGGAAGAGACTGTTCCAGTGCACACCAGCAGTGTGGATGACAAGGGAACACCAGCAGGATGTTTCCTTTGCAAGCATTTCAGACTGGCAGGTTTCTTTATCACTTATTTTTGAGATAAGGCTGCTGCTTTTTCCACAGCTGCTTGCTGGACTGGAGTGAAGGGCTGTTAGAAACTCCAGCAGCTCTTCAGGACATGTTTGTGCACACACAGGCAGATGGATTGGCTGGGTTCTGTCACCTGTGATGGGGAACTGCAGCACCATTTGCTATAATATAAACCTCCTCTCTTCCATCAGCATCCCTGGGGTGTTGGAATCTGGCTGAAGCACACAGCATGACACTGATGTGACAGCATGTTTAATGAGATAAAGCCCAGTCCCCATATTTGCATCACCAGGTCTAAGGGTCACATGCACCCAGCTTGCTCAATACATTCTCCTGCATTTCCCTCAGAATAACTGAAGCTTTGTTTGAAAAGTACCTACTTTAGTTCCTTGCATTAAAAAAAGATCAACCCAAAACTATTAGAAAAGAGTACTGACACGTGTCTGGCCATCTCCCAGGTTCTGCTGTGGAGCTTGTCTCTCAGAGGAGGGAGGCCACGTGCAAATGCACTCACATCCCAAGTGAGTGGAATTTGTGAGTACAACATAAGCACTACAGGGATGCTTAATCCAAGGTGGAAAGCCATTGGCTTCCTTGTTAGAAAGGAAAGGTGCATCTCCTACATCTTTGGCAAAGATTTTCTTCCCTGTTCAGGAGGTGCCTGAGCAGCACAGAGCCCCCTGCTCTCAGCAGGGTACAGCTGCACAGCCCACACCTCCCAAACACTATTTCCAGAGTGTTGCCTGGAGGAAGTTCAGAGCAAAGGTGTTATTAATCACTAGGAGCAGTTTTCCCTCAGCCATTTCAATTCTTCCATTGCAGAGGGTCCTGTAATGTCTCAGCTGTTAGCAATCAAGTCCCAAAATGACCAGTTCACAGTCCTAATCAGTTCTGAAATTAAACACCCCTCCCAACACATCATCCCTCAGAAACAAGACAGTTTATTGAGAGTCTAACAAAAACACCCCACACTCTCAGACTCATGCAGTGTGAAGATAATGAGCAGTACTCTATATTTTGGTTTAATAATTGATGTCTCTTAGATATAATTGCATTGAAAAGGAAAATTTGTATTTAAAATATTTTCATAAATGAGACCCAAAGGAAACATCTTAATAAAATGCAGAAAATCTTTGAACTGAGAAGACCTAAATGGTAAATTCAATTGTCTTCCATTTTCCACTCTCAATAACACAGGATAAAATGGTTACCTTACAAAGGAGATGTGTGACACCCAGCTCGTCAAAAGGTGTTACTTCCTTAAAGAAGGCTGGGCTTGAATACCTTGCACTGGATTTTGTAAAAGATTAAATGCTAATAATCAGATCAAATGTGGATATATGAGCTGGGAGATGAGGCTGGGAAATTGCTTGCCAGACTGAGCAAAGAGGAGGACAGCAGTAAAGTTATTAGCTCAATTAAGGAGAAAGATGGTTTGGTGAAAACCTATACTCACAGAAATAAATCAAGTATTTAGAATATTTTTAAAAAACCACCAATTTAAATCTGTGGACAGCTTTTCTCTGACATCCTCTATGCCAATGTAACCTAAAGATTTCTGTGTTTGTGATTGAATATTACAAGAAGTTAACTATAAGAAATAAATATGACAACATTTAGCAGCCTTTCAGTATTTTACAGTTACTCAAATGGATCTTACAGATGGGAAATTACTGTTATCCTTGTTTTTTATGGACAGGAAGGGACAACACTCATGGCTGCAGCTTTCCCTGTTCTAACCTGCATCCCTCAGGCTCAGGGCAGTACATGGCTCTCCTGGTGCTCGTCCCCTTGTGGTCCAGCTGTGAGGCCATGAACTCTGCTTTCAAGATTGATTTCAATGCTGAGGCATTAAAGCAGCTTTTTAGGTACCAGTGATCCCCAGTGCAAGATATTGGTGGATGTTTATGAAGCATTTTCTTACCTCCCAGTCTGTTAGCTTTTCATTAATTCAGGGATAGCTCTAGAAACATAAAATGTGTAACAGTGGATTGCCTACGTGATATCTAAAAAAGAAAATAACTCTCTTAAACTCCAGAGACCCTCACTAATTGACCTGACATGCTTATTAAGCAGTTTTGATCAGAAATAATTAACATAATCCAGCTAGACCAATTAGAGCTCAGAAAAGGGGAAAAAAAAGAAGAAAATGGAACATTGTAGAAGCTTCAATTTGAAGAGCATCATTTGCAAGATGAAATACCAGCTGATTCAGCAAACAAGTAGGAGTTCAGGAAAAAAGTTATAACCCCTCACCCAGGGAAACAGTAGATAAACTGAAAATCCATGACAAGATGTTTTCTTCATGGCAGACATGCAGAAGACCTTTAGAACTTTATCACCTCTAGAAGAGGTGGGCAGAAGACAGAATAGTTTAGCCAGTGCAGCAGCACTAAGAGAATAATCTAAGAGCGTTGGTTCCACACCAGAGGCCCTGTGGATAGGTGAGATAAGCAGCTTGTGGGAAGCCTGCTTTGGAAATTTACCCCTGAGAGACACTTTATTAATTACTGTTTGTTGTTTCCCCTGCAGAAGGCTGGAGATCTCAGATCAAACCATCCTAAAGGCGAGGGAAGAGAGAACTCTGCTACGAGACTGAGCAGTGAGTGCACACACAGGAAAAGGTCCCCCATGTGCTTTAATTAAACAATCTCAGTACCTCTCCTGATGAGTTTTCATTCCCTGCAGGATGGCCTGGGCACACCATCCCCAGCTTCACCCTCCAGACAATCCCCAGCCCTGCCACGTGCCCCTTCCTGAGACACCTTCTCCAGGCCTGGCCACACGGGAGGAGCAAGGAGCACTTGCATGTATCAGCAGGACCAATATCAAGGTGCTGTGACAATGGATTGTACAGATTTAATTCTTTTCTGGCAGAAAGTTGTCATGAGAATTGTGAGCAGGTGCTCAGAGAGACTGATTTTTAGAACAAATGTTTTGGTTATTAGATATGAGATAATATGGTCCCAGGGAGAACTTTTAGTAAAATGCCACACAATATCACATTTATAATGGCTTATTTAAGAAATTTAATGTCAGTGGGATTGGTTAAAGGTTTTGTGCTTTTGTTAATTGTTTTTGATCATACCTGTTTTCACAGACAGGGGTGCTCATGTGTGTGTAACATGAAGTTGTCAGATCCTGTAGGAAAATAGCAGCAAATCTCAGCATCTCAAGATGCTGTCTTGAAACTTCATCTTCTCTTAGTGGCACCAGAAAACTAATTCCTTTCTGCACAAAATGAACAGCTTTAAAATCTCAAACTTCATGTGAACATGAAATATTCGAGGAAATTTTTTTCATCTTCAACCTTGACACACACTTTGCATTCCTGCACATCCCCAAAATTCCTGTCATCTCAGGGAATGTGGATTTCAAGGCTTGGATTCAGTTGGACTGACTAATTACTTGTGTTGTAATGATCAACCTGCTTAATTTATCACTTCTTTGAACATTTAATTAGCCAACAGTGCAAGGCAATTTAGTTCTGAATTAGGATAAATTAAAATGCTAGCTTTGCAGCTTTAAGGATATGTGAACTACCACCAATTGCTGCTATGAAAACATTCAACAAAGCAGAGAGAAGAATGCAAAGATCTCAGCCAGGTTAATGATTCTGAAGTAACAGCCTTTGAAAAGCTAACTGTGAAATGTGTCTGCTCAATCACATGTCAATCTGTCTATGCTGAAGGATAAAAACAAGAAGCTGAAAATGGCAATTTCCTCCTCCTCCTCCTCCTCCATGCTCAGCTCCAGCTCCTTCCAGTGCAGAAGCTCCTCAGCCCATTCCAAGCCCTGTGTGACTGGGGTCCCAGTTCAATCCCTGTGCACTTCCATTTGGGACAAGCTCACATGATTTCCTGTAAGCAAAGCTGTAATTTGTGTTTCTAAGTACTCTGAAACTGCTTTGGAACTGCCCTGGTATCTGACAGTTAAATGTTCTCAAACTGATAGGGAATAATAAACCTGAATATAGAACTTTCATCGGAAAAATGAGGTTTAAGATCAGAAATCCACGGAGATGCTTTTGTACAGATACCCAAACTGCTTCCATTATGTGTGCTGTCATTTGGCTTCCATGACTAAGCCATTGTGATAAACTGAAAAGGACCATGGATAACACTTTTAGGGGTGCTAAAGGATCACAAGACAATTCTTGCTGGTTTTCTGGGTGTCTCATTCTCAGCCTTGCACCTGCAGCACACATTTAGGTGTCTTCTTCATGTATTTCCATCCTCACTATGGAAAGGATGAAACTCCTGATAACTTTGTGTGTCTTGATATCTTGGTCAAAGCCACAAAATAAAAAAATTGACTGTCCAAATCCTTGGGCTGTTTTGACCTCTTTGTTCTTGAGGTGCTTATTCAGAACGTGAGTGCACATTGTAGAGCAGAGATGAGAACCAGTGAATCCATTTCTTTCTTGTCTAATGAATATAACTCTGCAACTGCAACCACCAGTGAGATGCAAATGCATTCAGAATCTCCCAAAGAGCTCTGAGAGTTGCCCACATACATTGGTATCAAACATCTCCTGACACAGAAACCAAAGGTGGCAAGCAGAAATACCAGTTCTGTTCCAAATTATTCTGACTACACTTTTCAGTGGTGTATTTAGTGCTAATTAGTCCATTTTGAATTGTTTGCCCAAACTATACAATAATATCATTTCGTTAAAAAGGCTTCAATTAAAGAAGAGAGAAAAAACTTCCCATCAGAAAGCTATCTGCACACTTATTATATCTGCACACCCCATATATGTGCACTGTATAATCAGGCATGCTCAAATTAGAGATGAAATTACAGCTTTCCTGTTACCATGAGAACAGCAACATTTCTCACATCCTGTTAAAATTATTAACTCAAGTAGCTTATATCTTCTTAAACTTCATTATTATTTATCTAGGGTTGTATAAGCTTTGGCTGTGCCCACACTAGCCAGCATTAATCACATCTCAAGTGAACTACTGCCAGCATGGAGAGAGCCTCCACCATTTTTTACCAGCCACTATAATTAGCTTTTATCCTTCTGTTGTCTATTTTTTTTTTTTTCCTGGTAGCCATGTGTGGACATTACAGCAACTGCTACAATGAAAAAACCAGAAAAGCTTACAGGAATCTCACAGCCTGTGCTCCTCAGCAGTGAGCAAGCTGAGTGGTGCTCTCAGTTCAGCAGTGTGGGGTAAAGGAATGATGATGAGAGCCTCAAAGCCTTGCAGCCAGTGCAGGTCCAGGTCTCAGGGAAGGTTTTGTCACCCCGAGCCTGAGGTTGCCATGGCAATGTGCAGGGATGCCAGCCTTGCTCCAGCAGGACGAGCTGTGTTTTCCCATCTGGTGGTGGCTTGATCCTCTGACGCACAGCCTGCCCTGTCCTCTCCTTCTCACCTCAGCAGCACTTGGAACAGTTTTGCTTTCAGCACGGAGAGGGTGAGGAAAAGCTGCTGTGAGTGTTTGGCTCGCTGCAAAGGAGATTAACGGCAGGAGCGCGGGTCTGAGGCAGATCTGAACCAGAAATCCTGCTGGCAGCGAGTGCTGGCGGCAGAGCTGGCCTGATTCGTGCTGCACTTCATATGCTTTGCATGTCCTGGAGCCTCAGAGGAGATGGAAGGGACATTTGGAAAAACAAAGGATTCCAGCTGCCTTGTTACCTGCTGACACAGGAGTCACTGTGGCTGCCTGGGCAATCCATCATGCTCTGGCTCCCACCTAGCTGCCAGCTTTCAGGTTATTCCAGGAAAAGGGGACTCATTTGGCCATGTGTCAAAAGGAAGCACAGGTGAATTCCAGTTTTGGTCTGCTCAGCTGGGAGGTGTTTTAGGCTTTCCTCATGACATGCTCATCATTAGATTCCTGCTGCCATCCCAGAGAGGGGCAGATAAAAGTATTAGGATTTCAGAAGTCAAATTCACAGAATGCCTTGACAATTCTGTTTCTCTTCTTTTGTTTAATTGTTACTCAGATACAGTCAAACAGGCTTTAGGGACTTTAAGATGAACTGTGTCATCTCCTTTGGTTTCCAGTATCAGACCAGCTCAAACAGGGGCAGTGGCACAAGCCCAGGAAGGGAAGTGAGTGAGTGGCAGCTCACCTTGGGACACCTGAACAGCCTCCAGGAGCCCTCTGGCTCTGCAGGTGCTCCTGGGACCACCTTTTACATGTGCAAAGCTTGGGCCACACACGGCAGTCCTGCACTCTGCAAGTGCAATGTGGGTAACAATCACCCTGGATTCCTGTTCCTTCTGTCTGGTTTTTCTGGGGATGAAAATAACCCCTGTAAAGAGGCCCTGCACTTGCCAGTTTTCAGTTTTGAGACTCTCAGGGGCTTTGTGCCCCATGTCTGTGCAGCAGGGCCTTCACCAAGAGCTGAGCTGGAGGCCACACTCACCTGTCCTGCTCTCACAACAACTCTTGTGCTTGTAAATCACAGAGGTTCGTGCAAACAGCTCAGAGGTGTATTCCAATAAATCTTTGCAACCACACCATTTTAGTTTTGCTGGAGTCCTTACAAGGTACAAAATATTTCCAGAGGGAAAAAGACCTTATGATTGGAGAGCAGCCCTTTAACCCCCACTGCAGCCCATTTTTAAGTATGCTCAGGCATGAGGTAGGTGGACAGACCAGTTCAAGTACAGCCAGGTTATTAAAATCTGTCCCCCAACCTTATAAATTTGATGTGTGCACTTGATGTGCATTTTACCTGTATGAAAGGGGCCCAGTTTATTTCCTGCAGCATTCACAATATAGTAAACTAAGCTGACACTTCTCAATGCTATTGGAATTGCTAGTTTTTAGATGACTTTGTATTACTTTGCTATCTATTAGATTTTTGGTTACATGTAAACCCAAAATTTCTTCTTCCCCAGCTCTTCATGTAGTTTTGCTGCCTCATCTTTTAAAGACTCTAAGGCTTTTGTGATCAGTAGCCACTTACTGTTTTCCAAACAGAAGTAGGATAATGAAGATATGTTCATGCTAACTGTGAGGGTAAAGATAAGATAAAGGAGGAATGTCTCAATAGATGAAAATAGTTTTGAAGAGAAGGAATGCCCATGAATTCCGGGGAAAATAATAAGGTTCCAGAGATAAAGTAAACTATAACAATCTTTATGATAATGGGAGAGGAACACATTAAGAATTTTATTAGCAAGAACTACAAAAATTAGCTCTCTCCAATTTCATCTTAGAATCAGTGAACATTTTGTTTCCATAATAAAAACAGCAATGAAAAGAAAATTGGACACAGGGCATTACACTTTTTCCTCTGTAGGGGAAGATGATTTCTCCTCTCTGAGGAGTAATATGGACAATCAAGGCTGCAGCTCTGCGGGACACGGTGCAGGTCAGGGTGTGCCACCTCCCTCCACTTCACAGCTCCCACTGCATTGGATGAGCACAGTCCTGGGAGAGCCCCATCTCCTCAGCTGGTCACTCCAGAACAGGAATCATCAATAAATGAAGGGGAAATGTTTCCTTTTTAGCTTTTCTGCTCAGTGACTACAAATGCACCTGGGGCAGGAGTGGGTGTCCACAGGGTGTCCCAGCTCCTGGCAGATGCTGGCCCTGCCTGGCCTGAGAAGGGCATGAAGCACCACAGACACCTTGAGCTCAGGAGGAAAAAAGCTGGGCCACACTGAAAGTGCAGTGAGAGGCTCCTTATGGCCTCCTCCCTGCCTGCTTTAAGAATCAGGTCAGGACTTGGGCATTGCAGAGTGAGCGTGAGCAGCAAAAGGACTCACGGGACAAAGTTCAAGAGAGTGAAAAAATCCTAAAACAGAGCCACTGGTAGAGCTGCAAGGAGCAGAAATCATGTGGGAACAGCTCTGGATACATTCCTGGAGCAGAGGGAGAAAACTCTGCTCAGCTTGGCTGAGGCTTAGGTTCAGCCTAAGGAACCAACATTTGGCACTCAGTTACTAGAGCCATTTTCATTTTCTTAATCTCTGACAGGAAGTGTAAATACTACAAAGCATGTGGTGCAAGAACAGCTTTGTCAGAAAAAAAAAAAAGAGAATTAAAAAATTCACCATCAATTCAACATTAACTTGAATTCAGTTACCACCTGCAGCTGCAAGGCTGTAGCTGTGATAGGCTTCAGGATTAGAAATTCCTGCATCTTTAGTTTTTTCTAAATACTTTTCAGCAATCCACATCAGCTGCATCATCCCTTCTCAGCACCATCCTGGAGATGTAGAACTTGAAGTTCATCAATGCCTCATTGCCAAAGCCCAAATTGGGTTCCAGTTGGTTACTGAAGCCTCACTCTCTGGGATATTTTCTCCCATCTCAATAAAATGTGCATGGTAGTTCAAGACCAAAATACATCCCCTTGTAATGATCATTATGCTGCATTTTGAAGCCCATTTATCACTTCTCAGGAGCCATTTGTAATATCGTAACTTTGCTCGCTCACTCACTGTAAAAAAAATTGGCTGTTTCCAACATCTAATCCTGCAAGAGTAGGTTGAGTGCAGTGATTGCTCCAACTGCCTTGCCAATGAGTCGAAACACTTTTTGCTAGGGCCATTAAGCAGACTAGGGGAACATTCAGTTATGTTTAATGCTCAGGAAATCAGTACAATTGAATTCCAAGGATCAGGGAGAAAACAAGTAAAATTAGAAAGGCTGATGAAATGAGCAAGGGAAAATGTGCATGTTGCTAAAGAACCTGAGCTTGTAAAACATGGCTTTGGAATTTTTTGCAAGCTCGAGATGTAGGAATTTTATCCTGGATCAGTTTATCTACTCGATTATCTTGGTATAAGCACCAGCTCTAAACCAGGAGATGGATCCCAAGGCCACTACAGCTCCTGCAGAGCTCAGTCAACCAATAAGACACATTTAAGGCTTCAAGTTGACTGAATTCCTGGATTCACAGCACTGAAGAGTTAACTGAGCACGGCATCTTTGCATTGCAGAGCCCCAGTCACTGCCCAGGCTAAGGTAAGATTCAGAGTGTTATTTTAGAGTTAGTAGGTACTCAGTGTTGTAAGTACTCTGAGCTGATGTTGAGCTAGGCCAGTTGATAAAGACTGTTCAAATGTGGACAATGAATTCTGTGGGTTTCTGCAGTGAGGCATAAGACAAACTGATTGACTTCTAAGCTACTACAGGACCATCCTGTCAATACTCCTTCCCTTCCATTGCTCTCCTTCCTTTCCAGATGTGGAGGAAGACCTCACATCTATTTTTTGAATAGCAGCAGCTGTGGCAACTTACCCCAGAGAAGGAAGTCCTCTCTCAAGTATTCCTGTCAGCATCTCACGATGCTCCAGCGCTATGTGTTGGGTGAAGGCCAGTGAATTTCTCTCCAGGCTGCTCTATGATGTCCAAAAGAAGCAGTGCCTACTTGCCCCATCTCAATGCTGCCCTCTGTGAGTCCACTGGCACCCAAACCTCTCCGTTGGCTTTTTTTTGGTGATATTTTTGCCTCTTTCATGGTGAGCAGTAGACACGGCACAGCTGGGAGCTTTGGAAGTAGGTCTCCATGTATTACTGCTGCAGTAAACAAGTGGTTTCATTTCTCCCACTAAAGAGAAGAAAAAATAATCTATACAAGGTGATGGATGATTGCACTCACCCTTTGTAACAAGTTCTAATAAAACTGTAGGAGAGTTTTTCCTCCCTACCGCATTCCAGAACAAGGTAAATTTTTAGAACCTCTCACGGTGTCACAAATGTTACATCCTTCTCTTTAGCTTAGAGATATTCCTTTTTTTAACAGGTACTTAAAAGGCACAGAGATTTTCTTTCTAGATTGTGAGGTTGATATGTCATCCACACGACTTGCTATGAGTAACACTCGCAGTGAGCACACCACGTACCCAGGATTTCCCATACCATATGTGCCTGCACACACCTGCAGGGGCACATTTCAAGAACCTGCACCATATTTTGGGGGAATTTGGGGCTCGAGGATGTCTGGTTGTTGTTGTGAGAGTGTGATGTGCAGGAGGATGGCTGGGGAGGCACAAAGCCAGGCCTGGAGAGAGATCCCCGTGTGGGGGAAAGGCAGCGCACAGACAGGGGGAGGCCAGAAAAACCCCGGGCTTGTCTTTTGGTTTGCTTTGGTTTGTTGTTTTTTTTAAAAAAACAACAAAGTAAGAAGCCCTCACCTCACAGCAACTCCAAAGCATGGTGATATAAAGCGTCAGAGATACATTTGTGGAAGAACTGAGGTAGCTAATTTGTCCTGGATCTGGAGAGGCCTGTGCAGGCTGCTTTGTGGAAGAACTGAGGTAGCTAATTTGTCCTGGATCTGGAGAGGCCTGTGCAGGCTGCGGGAGCACAGCGGCCTCCGAGTGCCATGGAAGGGACAGGGGAGGTATAACAGGGACAGGTGAGGTACAGCAGGGACAGGTGAGGTACAGCAGGGACAGGTGAGATAGAGCAGGGACAGGTGAGGTACAGCAGGGACAGGGGAGGTACAGCAGGGACAGGGGAGGTACAGCAGGGACAGGAGAGGTACAGCAGGGACAGGGGAGATAGAGCAGGGACAGGTGAGATAGAGCAGGGACAGGTGAGGTACAGCAGGGACAGGTGAGGTACAGCAGTGACAGGTGAGGTACAGCAGGGACAGGTGAGATATAACAGAGACAGGTGAGGTACAGCAGGGACAGGAGAGGTACAACATGGACAGGGGAGGTACAGAAGGGACAGGTGAGATAGAGCAGGGACAGGGGAGGTACAGCAGGGACAGGTGAGGTACAGCAGGGACAGGTGAGGTACAGCAGGGACAGGTGAGGTACAGCAGGGACAGGAGAGGTATAACAGGGACAGGTGAGGTACAGCAGGGACAGGTGAGGTACAGCAGGGACAGGTGAGGTACAGCAGGGACAGGAGAGGTACAGCAGGGACAGGAGAGGTACAGCAGGGACAGGTGAGCTGTACCTGCCCAGCACAGGAGTCCCAGCTCTGCTCTAACTGAGAGCAAGGTGCCAGGAGCCACGGGCACTGCTGGCAGGGAAGGTGAGGAAAGGGAGCCCTGCTGAGGTGTGACCTCACCACGTGGCAGTGGAGCACAAACAGAAAACACCAGCACTATTTCCTAGAGAAAAATCTGCAGTTTTAATTGTGTGAAACGACCACTTCCTAATGAGTATAATGAATATACAAGTAATGAGGATAGGAGAATAAAGTCAGCTCATACGGGGGGAAGAAGGAGCTTTACAAATTCTGTAGCACTGCTCAGCGCTGATTTACAGTAATTCCTTTCATTTCTTTTCTAATTAAACATCTCCTGAAGGATCAGGCCTGTCAATGTGATCTGAGGCCTATAGCCTGAAGTGTAAAGTGAGGCAAATTGCCTGACTTACTTGTGATGATAGAGTCATTTTGGAAGGAGATTGAAAATCAATACTTGTCATCCCCGTGCAGTGCTCTTTATTCAGAGGGGCAATTTGTAAGTGTAATCTGTATGAGTGTAGTGGGAGCATACAAAGTTACAGTACTAGTCATGCAGAGTGAAATGACAGAATATAAAATACAGGCTTTTTGCCATTTTATTCATATTAATGTCAAGGAATCTTATGAATAAGCACAACATTTTAATTCAGTGCTGTGCAGTGAGGCCACTTGCTGCATCTTTTGACTTTAGCTGCAGCCAACATTACAGGTCCCAGTATTTGACATGACTTCCCCTCTGACAATGTCAGGGCGTATCTGTGTGCAACTGCTTTCAGCCACAGCAAGGCAAACAAGGGCTGAAAAAAAAAGAAAAGGGATGGATCAGCCCTGTGTGTGCTGAGAAAACAGCAAACAAGCTCTCAGTGATGGTGGGGTTTAGTCAAACTCCAGGAGGATGGCAGCGCTGGAGTGCAGATGCAATCACAGAGGACAAGAGGCACTCAAGATCTTGTGCTTTTCTCAAATGAGAGTACTCAAGAGCAAAGACTGACAGCTCCTTACTCCAGGCATTATAGAGTCAGGTGCCTTGTTAGCTCCCCCTTGCAGCTCTGGCAGCTCACTTTAATCTGCACTACTAACTAGGAACAGTTTTCCTCCTGAATCTCTCCTGGAATGAATTTGCCAGCTATGACAATTTTTGGGACAAATTAATTAGGTCAAATTAGAGAGGGCCAAATGGGCTTTGGTTACTGATTATTCAGTAAGTGTTAAACTCACTTTACCTATTCACTGTGTCAGAGGAGTGAGCTGTAATTCTGGTCAGCATTTTTGCTTTGCTTTATTCAATGTGCTATTTTTCTCTTATTCAATGTGCCTCTTTGCTGTTACCCATCTAAAGTATTCTCTCATGCTGAAAAAATCAGTTACATCATAAAATATAATATATTTCTCTCTATGTAAAATGAGTTTTAAGGAAATAAAATTACACAATTACTCAGGAGAAAAAAAATAGTTATTTTGAAGAGAACTTTCTTCTCCTCAAAGCACTACTTCCCTCCCAAAATAGAGATATTAAAATTATAAAGGTTATGAAACTGGCCTAAAGCCTTCCTGTGAGGAGTCTGTGCCCAAGAATTATCCAGTGGAAGACAGGGGCTTCCTATGGATGTGAATTTAACTCTCATCTGACTAGGAGTGCATTTTAAATTGATGTTTTAACTATTTTTCTGAGGGTGTTTTCAGTTCATTTGCACTCTGCTCAGGAGACAGAGTGGACAAACACAAACCAAACACTTCTTGCATCACCTGCCAGAACTCCTAAATGGCATTATAATTATTTTAAACAACGAAAAGCTTTCATTGCCACTTCTTTTCCATTTCAAGAGCGATACTTTACTAACAGCCCTGCTGATATTGGGAAATGCTGTAAAGCACGGTCTCATTGGATTCCCAAACTTTATGGTACTTAGGTGGGAAGAATAGAAGAGCTCAGTGACATGCTGGTTTTGATGCTGCATCCCTTTGCCAGCCCTCTTGAAATCAATTGGCACGTCACATTTCCTGCAGATGGACCACAAATGGCACATGTACAGCTGATGTGCTCTGGCACTGGGGAATGAGATTGCATTTGCCAGTTAGCTTGCCAGCCAGAAGCCAGATTTAATTTGGAAGAGAATGGTCCACAGTTGTTTAGAAATAGCAAGGAGCAGATTTTAAATCATCTTCTGTTCCTCCCTGTTCAGTCTCATCCTGTAATTGGTAAATGAGAGTCCCAATCAGCTCAAATCATGGGAAAAATGTGTCTCAAGCAGCCAGTGAGACAGAAAACAGAGGTACCCACTCCTTGATACCATGGTCTTACAGCTGTTTGCAAGTCAGATGTAGCTAATCACAGGGTCCCAGGGAGCAATTAGTCTCTCTTTCTAGATTCCATGTGTAAGTTCTAGTAGAAAAGAGCTTTTTTTCTGCTTGCTGCCCTGATTGTTTTTGCATGCTCTTAACTATTTCCCATTTTATCCACCAGAAGGGACATATAATGTCATTTTATATGTTTGTAGATAAACATAGCTAGACTGAACAGAAAACATTTTAAATTGAGTGTAGTAAAGTGCTTGGAAGTAAATTTTCTGTGTTTATTAATCACGGTGGTTTTCACTTCCCTCTATTTCTTCTTTGGTAATGTACCATCCTTCAGTCTGAATGAATTCCTTAAGCCATGATCCTTAAAAATGAATTAAGACTGTCTCAGCCTCCAGACTCTGAGAGGCTTGCACAGGGCTCGTTTTCAGCTGACAGCAGCTTGGTAATCAGCCTTTCATCTTGAATCTGGGCAACTTTAAACTACATCTGGAGTACGTCTGGCCTGATTGTGGATGATTGTCCTTCATAAGGAGATGGCTTTGGATAGTGCCATTCCCAGGTAGGGACTCTGTTCTGGGAGGGATGGGTGGCAGAGTTTTTGAGCATCATTGTTTAGCTCTGTATCTTGAGGAGTGATGTGTCAAAGCTCTTGTTTTCCATCTGATGGAGCCCCAGACGTGTTGCAGACACTGAACTGTGGTGCCCTGGTGCCTGCACATTATTTCACTGACTGGTTCCTGTAAGCTCTGCTCTGTAGTGCCTGGCCTTCTGCACCTCTGCCCCACAGGCTCGTGTCCTGTGGGCTCCAATTGTCTCCTTGGTGATTTCTGGTACTGCCAGATTATCTGAATTGGCAGCTGGGAAATACATTAGATGTGGTTTTTTTCAGCTGAGGACTTTTTTATATCTAGTTGTTGTGTCTTCACTTATTATTCTGCTATCTGCCAAGAGTATTTTAAAGTGTGCATTTTACAAGCTGCTGTGTGTTTCTCATGGTTCTTTATGCAGCTTTTAAAGTTGGTTTTCCTTGGCTTTAGTCTGTCAGGCTGCCTGGAGCTTCAGCATTGGATTTGCAGAAGTACACTTGATGCCTGAAGGCCTTTGAGCACATTGAATAAAGCTCTGGGCATCACTGGCCTGGCCCTGAGATGTTATCCATGGCCTTGTTCTTCTCTTGAAAAATGACAGGTTTCTAAAGGCATCAGTAAATGCATCTGAGCTGAAATATGATTCAGCCAAAATCTCCTTTCCTTCCTGCAGGCCAGGTCTGAGCCTCAGCACCTGCGATCTGCCAAAGCCCTCGTGGCATGTCCTGCAGGCAGTGGCAAGGGCCATCACTGGCCACACCAGAGGAAGAGAGGTCACCCCACTGCAGGACGAGCTCAGTGAGCCCCTGGGCCAGCCTGGGTGAAGAATTAGGGTTACACTGCCTGTCCTTGCCATACACTTACCAATAAAAAGGGAGATGATACCTTGGTGACGGCTTGGGGCGGTACCTGCAGCAAACTGACATAAGCGACTTGAATTACACTTTGGAGATATGGTAACCATGGAAACCTGAGGGAGAAACAGTTTTTCAACTTTCAGTGCCTGGTGGTTTAAAAACTCTTCATTGATACTTGGAGGTGGGAGTCTGAGTCCCAAATACAAGCTCTTCTGGGGGCAAACAAGAGCACTGAGATTAAGAGAGGAGAAGTCAGGTTCTTACATCAGTTCATGGGCTCAGATGGAGCAGTGCTGGTTGATTCAAGCTGGTGTTTTTAGACAGTGAAATGATAATTTGGTTGTGCCTGGCCTTGTGCCTTGCCAAGTATTTCGGGCAGGAACAGGTTACAAATGTGATTCAGTCAGAACAGCTGCCAGTACACGTAGGGTTACACAGCTGTAGAAGTATTTTGTTGCATACAGGTAGAGATTTTATAAAAGAAAGGCCTTATAAAATCATAGCTTAGGCCTGCTACTTCAGCTAAGTGCAGTTGGCCTGTTATTTCACTTCCCCAGTTTATATATAAACCAACAAGAATTTAGCTGGAAGCATTTTTGGCTTTTTAAATAAACTCTCCCCCTAAAAATTTGGACTCCAAAGACTATTTGTACTCTGATATTTTTCTTTCTTGTGGCTGTATCAGCATGTGGTAGAAGGCTCTACCCTGCAGCATGATCCCTCATGCTGGAATTGTGCCTGGTGCCAAGATCTGAGATCTTGTCAGGAAAAACTTCCGAAGGGCAGATTGTTGCTCTTTCAGAGCCTCTGTTAGAGGACAGTGAACCAAATCAGTGTCAGGCTTGTGCACAGAACTGGAATGGAAATGCTGGGGTTTCCATCCTTTGCAATGACCCAGGTTTTGCTTATTCCAGCTTTGTAAGTTGGAATACTTCTGTATGAAGTAACAGATGTGTAACTCTGATCCTCCAGGGATGAACAGTGGGAGAACAAGAAGTCTGCCCAAGGATTCCCAGAGTTTTCCCATGTGTTTGTTTCCCTGTGTTAGCCTGAACCTTTCAGAGTCAAGAGAACTAAGAGTACAACATGCTCTATGTTTTCTAATGTGGCCTTTTCAAAGCTGCCTTTCAATCACAAGGAAGCATCAGGAGATACTAAAGATTACAAGAACTGTGAGGTTTCATGCAGCTAATTTCTCTTTATTTAGTAGAAGTCTTCAATTTATTACATTTGACTCACGGCTCCACTGGTCTAAGTTGGGTTCAGAGGTTTTGACCTTTCAAGTGAAAAATAACTATTGAGTGATTGGACTGCCTGAATGTTTCTAGGTGTCCAGTAATAGCCATTAATGTAAATTAGCTATTTATTTCATTAACTAAGCCAAAACTTACATTGACCAAATGCTGACAAAGAGAAAAAAAAAAAAATCCCTGTCTGAATTAGATCAAAGGAATTAAAATAAGAACCACTCGATGGTAGCAGTTAATGAACTGTAGCTAACTTAAAAAGTCTCCTTCCAGGAGCAAGAAAGGATCAGTTTGGTCTGTAAATGCTCTGAACACACAATTTGCATTTCCCTCCACCACTAATTTGTCTGAACATCCCCAGGTGTGGGCTGTTGCCTGCCAGGCTCTAAATGTAACTCAGCTGTGCTGCATTGAGGGGAATCTCTCCAGGTTTCTTGCATTTTCACTGCTAGTCCCAGACATTTCCTCAGAGGCTGCATGTCACCAGAAGATTCTGATGTCCTCTCTGAGTCCTCTAGTGCTTCTGGGAGGTAATTTTTATGATTTTTTTTTACTTCTTGAAAATATTAATATGAAAGTATATCAAAAAATTAAATGATGTAACTCTCAAAGAGTTGGTGAAAAAGGATAATTTTAAAAAAGTGTTTAATGTGGTTGCTTAAGCAAAGCAAAAGTGGGGAGTGTGTGTGCAAGAAAGGCTAAATAGATGTGAACATGTAAAGAGGGGAAGCATTTTTATTGAGCTGACTTTACCATTTTTGCCAAGGTTTTCATTCCTCACTTTCTAATACGGTGACTGGGTTTCTCTCCCAACTGATACACATAAAAAAAATCTACATTAGCTTTCCCCTGATATCAAATTCACTAGGTTTTCCTCTGCTTACAGTAAACATAACTGTAAATACCCCAAATGTATCTGGAATGTATTTGCTGAAACCTCATTGAACAATGTTAGAATCCTGAATCATACTAAATTCTTTCCTTTCTGTCTCCCAAACATTGCTTTCATCCAGTTTCCTGATATTTTCATCACCTTCATGTGGTATCTTTCCCCTTACAGCACATCAATGATAAAACAATTAATACTGGATTTCTCATACAAGAGCAGGCCCCACAATCTTGGGGAGATCAGACCTGTGGGGAGATTGAGTCTGAAAGCCTTTGAATTTGGATTTCCCCAGAGGCTGTTGTGTTTTATTTACATTTCCTATTTCCTGTCAGAGTGTTTTCTTGCTCTTCAGTAGGAAAGAGAGGAGTGTAAGGTGTGAACTAAAAGGCTGTAAATTAAAAGGCAGCTCTGTGCTGATCCCCTGTGCCTGCAGCCAAGTTTCTCCTTCTCCCTGCTCTACCTGGAAACACCTGTCTCTGTTTGCCCATGGGGCTTCTTTAAATTCCTAATTGTTCCTCAGGTGCCATCCATTGCTAGGGCTCTCTTCCAAATCCCCCTCCTCTACCTGCAAGATAAAGTGCAAAGCCTTGAAGATGGATGACCCTTCTACATGCCACAATAGCTTTTTAATTTGACATTAACCACGCTGTTAAAGTGCAGGCAAGGGGAGATGTGTACAAGCTGTCCTTCCCAAAGTGTTACTCAATCACTCCAGTCTCCTGCCCCAGACCTGTGTGCTGCAGACAGTGTGGACATGCCCTTTCAACCTGCCTTATTCTTTCACTGGCAATATCCAGAAACAATTTTTAACCTGTAGATTTTTCCTTTCCCCTATAGGAGAGGCTAGAATGAGGGGTGGGGAGCCCCACAGCTTAGCTATTTGACTTTGCATCATTGCAGCAATCTCAGTGGGAGCTATTTGATCAAAAATTTAACAGCTTCGTGTTCCTATATTTCCAACACAGGTACTGGAAAGACATTGTTAAATAATGGGCCTGCATTTCACATGGTTTCTTCTGAAGTCTTTAATCAATAAAATGTTCTTTAGATCAATACAGATGTTATTTCGCTGCTTGGAGCCATTTGTAAGTGTATGGTGGGGGTAGTTACAGCCTAGTCAGTGCCTGGTGAGGATAAACTCTTGGGCACAATGCACTTACAGCTCCACTCATACACAGCAGGTGTCAATACAGAATTGGGCACACCAGCATAAAATCACAACATCCTCTCTGCCAAGCAGCTCCAGATAAGCTGCACTGGGGGAATGAGGGTTGAGTGTGTTTAAAACCCTGTTTTGTTCCCTATCAACAATGTCAGCAGAAGTGCTTTGCAGATTTATGTTGATTATTGTATCAGTAAAGTGTGACATAGTCCCTTGCTGAAAGGATGTCTGCAAAATGTGCCTGGTGCCTTGGTAATGGAAAATCTAGAGGATCATTCTAATTCTGCCAGCCCATTTCAAACTAGATGAGTTTTAAGCTGCATGTCATGGGTGGAAAGTTTGGACATTGCTGACGGTGAGAGGCTGTTGTCACAGTAATACTGGTGCAAATAACACTTAAAGTGTTGCAGAATGAAGGCTGGAAGATGTTAGAACCTGGTTTATAATGATTTTAAAACGCTGGGATACAGCTTGTGCCTTCAAAGCATTATACAAACTCTGAATAATTAAGCACTTGGGTTGGCAAAGTAGATATTTTGAAATGAAACCTTCAGGTCATGGACAGGTCTAGCAGTTTTCCTTTCCTCTTGTGTCAGGTGTAGGATTTTGTCTGCTGGCAACAAGCCTGACTTTTTGAGGAGCTCAGTGTTGGTGTTGAGCCAGCTCGTGCCTGTTCTTTATCTCTGAACTCTAAGCCATGCTCTAAAATCTTTGCATGCTTCAATAGCAAAACAGGGGGACCACTTTGTCACAGCACCTGGAAAATTCTCAAATGTGGCTGCCAGACAGAAATGTGATGAGTGAACCCACGGGAGAAGGGGGAGCATCATCTCCCAGCCAGGGCAGAGGGGGCTGGGGCTGCAGCAGGACTGGCCCGGGCTGCTTGTGCCAGGGGCGGTGTTACAACAATAATTAAGCATGCAGGAACACTGACTGCCTTCCAAGAGCTTAATTTTGCTATCAATTTTAATTTTCATATTAATTGCCATTAGTTAAAGCGATGTAATGAGCCTAGAGTGGCAGATAAAAATGACAATGGGGGTGAGTGTGAATTCTGACTCCTGCTAGTGAAAGCAGCAGCTCGTTAGTGAAGGTCTGTGCTGGCTATCAGCAAACTCACAGTTAAAGCCTCAATTCAGCCTCACTTTCAGTCTCTTCCTGTTGTGTTTTGAAACCACTGAATCCCTCAGACAAGTAATTGTTCATTTTGGTGCAAACTCCATGCATTCAGACTCAAATCTCCTGTTTTCAAACCCAATTAGGAGATGGTAATTACCTGTGGGACTTGGGGTTTTGTTTGTCTGCCGGGGCAATGCAGATATTCTGTTTGTATCTCCCCTTCTAGTTATCAATAAAACACTAGAGCAAAACAGTGTTTTCCTCTTGGTGTTTTCAGGCAGTGTTATGCCAAATGAAGGCAATATTATGAGACTGCATGTGTTTGGGAATAATCATGCAAGCTATTAGTAATCATGCTTCACTGTTCTCCAGCGCTGCTCATCCCTCGCTTTTTTTTTGTGTTTGACACACAAGAACAATTTCACTGTGTGATAATTCCCATCACTGCCCCTGCAATGCTGGAGCTGAGGTCATTGGGCAGCCAGTGATGCAGTCTCTGTGAAGAGGATGAGTGCAATCTCTTGAGTTTCAGTACAGCTGTACTTGTGTGAGCTCAGACTTGGTGAAAAACTTGTCTCTAACACATTCTCTACCCTGGTATAAAGCAGCCACTCCAACTCAAGGACAAGCTGAGCAGAGGAAGGATATTGCTAAGTGGCTGTTCAGTAAAGGAGACCTGCAGAACATGGAGAACGCTGATTTCTTTTGAAAAGTGCACAGAGGAGTGGATTGGGAGTCTTTTGTGACATAGTCAGCACTCAGTTGCCAACCACTCTAGTAGGTGAGAAGAGATATTCTCAACTCTCACATAATTTCCAAGGGGCAGAAAAGGCAGTTGTCAGCTCTTTGATCTCTGGATGAGGATTTCCTCTTCATCTTCCCCTTCATAATGGACCCAGCCCTGGTGAGGCTGAGAGCTTTAAGGAAGGGAATTGCTTCAAATATGCAGCAGTCTCTTTTTAAAAAGAGAACACTTGCCATCTGGCTATCTACCCATTTGAAAATCATTTCTTCCTCAGTGTACTGATTAACTGGGTGATTGTCAGGAACTGTGGTAATCTTTATCCTACAAAGCAAATTTAGCACATTTACTGCTGCTGCAAAGAGTCCAGGAGTTTATGCAATTTATTAATTGAAAACACTATTTGAATTCATTAGTTTTGTTCTTTTCCTTCTCCTAAGACTTGCAGGGAGTTTGGCCTTGTGATGTCCCTGTGTCAAAGGTGATCATTACTGGGACCAGAATGAACATGAATTGAGCAAGAAAGTTACACCACCAGCCCCTGAATCAGCCTGAATGTTTGAATGCCAAATTCATTGTCATTTCTTACAGTTCTCAAGTCAGTACCAGATACTTTTGTCTTAGTCAAATGCAAGTTACTGATCTAAGCCTTGCAGTAAATGGATTAAGAGTTATGGTCTGTGTGACAAAGAAACAGAGACTAGAAAATCTGCTTTGGACTGAAATCTGAAGAATGAGAATTATGTTGCAACATTATTGATCCAATAATGGCAAAAAAAAGAACAATAATAACATTTCTTGAACAAATGCCAACTGAAGAAAAAGGATGAATTCTTGCCTTCCTCTTTGCTATTCAGACATTAGATATGATGAATTAAAAAAAGGGAGATGTCTTATTGTAGGGCATTGGCTTCCTGGATCTATCTCTGTGGATAACAAAGTACCAGTGCATTTTTGGGATGGCCACTTAGGCAGAATCTCAGCTGGCTGCCACTGTGGAGACAGCCCAGTCTCAGAAACAATGTCTGACTCAGATGTTCAGAAATAAATACAAAAGGTTTTTCCTTTCACCATCAGATACCTGCTGAACTGTTCAGTGCTCTGTAAGTCTGCTGCTACTTGTCTCTAGCTTTTTCCCCTTAGGGGAAATTTTGTGAAGGTTGACTTGACTGGGAGCTGAACAATGCCAGAGTGAGGAGCAAGTCAGCCTCATGCAGATGTATTTCAGCTGAACCTTATTTTATTGGAAGTGGAGTCCCAGAATTCAAAAGCATGAGAACACAATGGGATAACTGTGTATTTAGAGCTGCAGTGTCTCTGGGGCTGGGTCTAGTCCTTTGTCCCAGATGTACACATTTTGGGTAGTGGGATTCATCCTGTGCAATTGTACACCAAAATCACTTATATGGTATGGAGACATCTGGAGATGCAGGTTCTAGGAGATGAGATAAATCATCCTGTATTCCACCAGCTACACAGGGAGAGGAGGGGGAAAACTCATGTCCAGCTGTGTACAGCACAGCTTTCAGAATTTCACCTGATCATACTCAGCCACCATGCTGACTGTGGCTAAAAAGCAATGTAAGTTCAGCCCCAAGGAGTTTGGGATTGTTTTCACATGCACTTTCATGGAACTGTCCATGAGTTCACTGCAACCAACTCCCAGGTGCATTTCAGCAATACTTTTCTGTCTGAGAAATTAATTATTTGTGTCTGGTATCATTGGGGTGATTTTAAAGCACTTCAAAGGATATATGAGGTGCCAGTTGCTAGTGTCAAAGGGACATGTTGAAGCTGGGCAAATCTGAGGCACCATGGATCAGAAGAGGAAATATTTGTTGTAGCTTGCTGGCTTTACACTTACTCTGGCATCCATGGTGAGATGGCTGAGAATCATGTCCACTTTGTATATCTCAATTTTTAGTTGTGAAATAGGAAGCAGCCTTTTCCTTTCAGTTAAGTGCTTTGACTTTTACAAGTGAGAAATGTTAAACAAACAGATTGAAATCACTATAGTCCTGGGAATATTTCCTTTAACTTCAGGGAGATTTGGCTTATGGCCCGTACCATATTGTATTGCACCAGCTCAATTAGAAAAAGAATAATGAATTTAAAGGTCACAGCTTTTTAAACTAGAATGCAGGAATAAGGGTAAAACATGTGTGGTGGGGTTCCTCTTGAACTGCCCTGGGTGTTTGCCATTAGGTACGAATGGGAGTTCTCCAACCAACAAATTCACTAATCTCCTTTTAATCTCATTGAATTCTGAACATTTTCTGGAAAACATTTTTCAGAACTAATCTGCCCAGGCAGGGCGGGGAAAATGTTAAAACACACAAAAATCTGCGCAACAGGAAATAATGTTAGAAAGCTGTGAAAATCATTTATCCTTTTGAAGCGTAATGGTTTTTAATTTTCTCATGCCCTGATCTCCCTGGCAACAATTTAAAAGTACATAAGCATTCATGAATCAAAGGCATTCACGTCTGCATTTTTAATTACGTGTCATAGGATTGAAACTTTCCCTTTGATCTTTGCATTTAAAGGGATTTACAATTTAATGATTACAATCCTCCTCCCCCCAAAGCCTGTGCTCATTACTGAGCAATGTCACAAAGGGGTCACTGTTGGACAAGGGAAGACAGTCCTGTTCTGGATGTTCCAAGTGTGAAACCTGCCTGTGCTCTGGCTCTTGGAGGAGATCCCTGTGTGCTGGTGGCTCTTCCCAGAGGTGCTGACTCCAGGCCTTCTGCTCTAGGCAAGGGTTTTTAGAACCAAAGCGAGATAAAACAGAACAAGAATAATCTGGCTGCCCACAAAGCAGTCCTGTGCTCTAGGCTCTGCCTCTCTTGCCCTGGGTGGTGACTCCCTAGCATGGGCATGTGACAAAGGGAGGCAGGAACACTCCCAGCCATGTGAGGGGTGGTGGAAGAGGTCACTGGCTTTGAGTGAAGGGACAACTTTGTCCCTGAAAGCAGAAATCAAAAAGAAACACTCAAACATTTTAATTGAAACTGGAAAAAACACAGGGCTATTCTGTTGTGCCTCTGTGAGAGAATGGTCCCTGAGGAGGTTATCAGCAGGGCAGAGGAAACCTTGTGGCTGACACACAAACATCTGAGTGCCTTGGAGGGGAGGAGAGCTCTGGGACGTGCTGGGGAGATGATGTTGTGGCTCTGGGATGGGAATGCTCAGCACTGGCATCACCAGATGTCAGCAGTTTCCCATTAGAGGTGTGTGATGGTGCAATGTGCTGCACAAACTGAGAGCTTTCTAATGAATTGTTCTTTCAAAGCTTTTTGCTGGATATTTAATTTTCTTGCTTAATAACAGTTTAAAGGTCACACAAATCAGTGACACATGCAAAATAAATGAGGGGTACTTCTGATGGGCCTGTGCAGAATTAAGGCCTTGTGCAGACTGCTTTATATGCATAATGTTGTTGTATTTTCTTGTTAAAACATCCATAAAAAAGTACTGAGTTAAAAACCCTGATCAGAATATTTTATGTCTTATTTAGCTACTTATGGGTGTAGATAGGATAGCAAGGATTCTGTAATCAATGCTTTAAGTTGACTCCATGGTGAGCTGGTGAGCTGAAAAATGTGTTTAGATCCCTTTTTGTCTCTCTTTAGAGGGTCTTAATATAGTAGATTTTGTGGGGTGAGCATAGGTTACATGATTTAAACTTAAAAACACTTATTGAGCTTACACTCAAAGCCATCCAATGGGTGTTTTCTCTGGAATGCACTCTATGATGATCCAATTTTACAATGACTTTTCCCAGATGAAAAAATTCATGGTTACAGTATTGACAGCTGCTGTTAAATTACTCCAGATGGGATTACACTAGAGGTAGACAACTCAGCCACATAAAGGCCACAGGAAAAGATCCTAAAAGTCATGAAAATGGGAATCAGGGATCAGGAAACAGTGATGCTTTTTAGAGCACAGGTACCATTCATAGCCCAGAGAGGTGCTACAGTTCAAAGGTAAGTGTCAATCAAATTTTGGGGATCAGTAGGGATAGCAAGCAGCTGAGAACCAGGGAGGCAGATAACTTCTAGAGAAGGAGAAGACTTGAGCAGAATTTTGCTTTCTTTGTTGCATTTCGGTTGGGTTTGGATTTTTGGAATCTTTTTTTTATTGAATGAAAATATTCATAAGTTATGAGAGAGCAGGAGGAGCAGCAGTTAAGTTTTTGAAGCAGCAGCAAACTATAGACTGTTTTTGCCCATAAGATAATTAGTGCCATGGTATAATTAGAGAGGAAAGAACAAAAGGAAGAAAAGTATTGCTGAGGGCTTCAGTTTAATTTACAAGGAAATCTAGGTAAGCAGCTAAATAGAATATACTCCTTTTAAAACATTATAGTTTGGTGTTTTATTTTAAAGAGGAAAGATCATCAGTTTATAAAGGTAGAAACACCAGCTCTAAGAAATAAATCCGTAGCTTTTAAAATCTCTTCTGTAGATTGAATTTCCTTTTATTGAAATACATTTTATTTAAATAAAGTCTGTGATACTCCTATTGAACCATAACTGAACTCTGTATCCCAAATAGAGTGCTGAGAATTTTAATTAAGCAGGAGCTGGGAAAGGTTAGACCATTGCAGTTTGGTCCCTCCTCTAAGTCCTGCATCCCTGCAAGTAGCTGCTGTGTGGTTGTTGTTCTGAAGGGCTCAAGTCTCCTTTTGTCACATCTGTCTTGGCATTCTCACATTGTCAGTGAGTCCAAGGATGCAGAACATATGGATCTTGCTTGGAGCCTGGAAAAGGGGCTTGGGACCTGAGTGATTTGCTCATTCTTGCACTCACCAGTGGTCTGTCACTCCAGTTGCCTTCTGTGGCACACAGGAAATAAATTGTTTGGAAGGCCTCACTAAATCTGGAACTAAACCCAGGACTGTCTTTGTTGGCACTAGAAGGATTAAGAAAGCAATGAACTGGGTGCCAATTTTCCTTTTGCCTGCAGAAGTGGTTCTTGGCACAGCTGGTGCAGTGTGCCAGCAACAGGCTGTTGGCAGGAAGTCAAATTGTTACTGAAGAGGTTTTTAATGTTGTGTGCTCTGAATTGCTCTGGCCTTTGGTATATGAACGTGGCATCTTCTTTTCCAGGTTACAGGTGTGAAACACAACACGAGGAGGTGCAAAGCTGACGTACTCCTGGCTTGGAACATCCCATGTGTGAGTGTGCTGAACCTCTTTCTGACAGTTTTGCTCTAAAACTCCAGGCTTGGGGCACCCCACGTGTGTGACTGTGAACTTTTTCCTGCTAGAATTCCTCCAGAGCATTTGGGGACTCCAGCGAAGCCATCATCAAGCAAGGGCCTTTGCTGGCTCTATAATAGATTTCTTCCCCTGTTTACTGCCTTCTTCTTGTCTCTGTTGTATTTGTGACATAAGGTTATGGACTATAGGGGACACTCAGTATCTCATTTTCTGCAGAGTTCCTATTAGAAAGTTCCTGTGTTCTTCATAGTACACCAGGAAATTATTACAACTGGCTAAAAACACGTTGACTACAATAGAAAGTCAGAAAGACTCACTGCACATACTTAAAATTTGTTATCTAAAGTATTCAGCTAATTATTTTAAATGATTAGCATGTTTGGGGAAAATATTACAGGGATGTGCAGTTTTTGCAAAAAGCAAACCCACTAGATTAATTGGAAGAAAAATGCTTAGCTCAGGGCTGCTCTTGTTTCTGTTATGTCTGGTATGGCTGGAATGGTGGCACATCAGAGCCCCTGCCATGAAATTCGGGTGAGATTCCACGAGCCTTCATTTCATAGTCACCATTTCTCACCTAGTCTTATTAAGGCTTCTGGCTGAGATTTGTCTCTGAGAAAAAAAGGCATCAGCACTGGAGTGAAATGTTTGTTTGGTGGGAATTCACCTTCTGCAGTATTTAACTGTCTTTTTCCTGGTTCCCCATCCTCCTCAGCTACACACCAGATGTGTGGTGTGGAGGGAGCTTTGGTGGCTGCACTGGAGGAGGAACCTCCTGCCTGCAGAACTGCACAGAACTGAGTTTATGGGGCTATATTTTCTTTGTCTGCCTAGATTGGAAAGATTTAGAACGATTATTCCAGCTCCTGAATGTCAGTGAGCTAGTTTGAGGGGATAGCTTGGGTTGCCAGATGTGTTGAAACCCCAGACACGTTCCCTGCACAAATCAACTCTGCACATCACGTGCAGCGAATTTAATGATACCAAACCCATGCTGAAATCATTCTGGCTGTGCTGTATGATGCCTGCACACAGAGACTCGTTTGGGAGGTCCTGATTGTGAAAGTGGAACTTTCCTGCTCCCTTCTCTTCATTTGTAAAGCCATGAGAAGCAGACAGAGAGCAGGGTGTGCTGCTGGTGGCTTCAGGCTTTGGTCCCACAGCAGCCTTGGTGCAGGGTCACAATGCTCTGCTCACAGGCAGTCATCTTTGGACACAAATTCCTGAACAACTGCACTGGCATCACTCAAAACCTTTGTGGAGGGTGCTCAGATCTCTCTTACTAGTGTTTCCAGCAGAGGAAGTCAAACATCACACTCTGGCCTTGGGTGATGACTTAGATTGATGAAAGAAAATTAAAACTTTCAACTCCCTGCCCTAGAGGGAGAACATAATGATCCAGACCAATCCCACTTACCTCTTTGAAATTATTGTTATCTTTTTAAAGGAAGTCAATGATTTATGAGATGTTTAGTGGGCAAAACCCTCTGCAAACACTGGGCTGGCGAGGTTATAAATGATCTGTGCACAACCTGGGATTTTCCTAGCAATTCATATGCTGTCTAACTATGACTAGGGCTTATTTCTCTGAGTTGCAGAGCATACTGAAATAAAAATGATTTGCTGGGCTTTGGTATAAGCTTAGGTAACAATAATTACTGCACAGAAAAGTTCCCTACTTAATCAATGGGCTGATGCACAGTGTCCTCTTTTGCTCCAGCATAAACAGGGAAAACAGATATAGAGGTGATGGAAAACATTCAAACTCATTACTAAAAGCTTTCTGCATTGTGGATTATACAAATGCAGAAGAATAGAAAATACAGAGGTGAAAAACCCCCCATAACAACAAGAAAAAGGACAGTCCCTGACCTGTAAATTCTAGAATAAGAACAGAAAACATGGACCAGTAGGAAGATGAAAATAGGGAGTGCTGAGAAATAATGCAACATTAAAGTAAGAGATTTACTAAAGTGGATTTAGGCATCATATTCCATGTCTGCAGGAATGAATAGAAGTCATGCACATGCATTGTTTTGGGAAGAAAACAGAGGAAGGAGACTCAGAAGGCTGCTGGATTTTTTTGCTCTTCTGAAAATCAGGCTGCTGGGTAGTGAATCTGGATCTTCAAAATATGAAGCCCTTGTGGGAATTGTATCTGTGCAGGAGTTTGATCAAACTCCCAGCACAACAATTCCCAGAGTGTTTTGGTGATGTGAGTGGAAGATGCCACTCCTGCACATCTCACAAGTGAATCAACCCTGTACATTCCTGCAAAATGCTGTGTGTTCTCTAAATGGAGAAGACATTAGATTAGTCACTTAGAAGCTGCTTAAAATAACTCTGTGCTTTATAAATCTTAACCTTATAAAGCTGAGGGACAGGGTTCTGCAAATGCTGTGTTTGTTTTCTTTCATGGCTATCTAACTGGAATTTAACAAAAACATAGCTGGAAGCTGTGAAGACTTGTGTAGCATCATGATAGTCATGTAGGAGTATTGTCAGAGGATATGAAAGAGACTGGGGTCATAGGCAGAACTGTATTTTATTAGACTGATGTTCCTGGGAAAAACACATTTTTCAAGCTCCAAGACGGGTATTTCTGGCAACAGCTTAGTTTGTGTCAGACACAGACTGAGTGGAGGTTGAGATCAGGCTGGGAATAGGAAAGTGATGTCCCCTCTCTTGCTCTCTCACTGTGGAACACCTGAAGTGGCCAACATGAGCTGCTGTGTGGGTCAGGACTTGGCTTTTCAGGGAGCATCAGGTGAAGGATGTTTGGGTGTAGACTCTATGTGTGTGCTCAGTGTGCAGCCACATTGCACAGAAAATACCCTGGTCTGCAGCATTGTTGATCCAAGGGTCAGGCCCAAGCTGCCATGGCCTTTCTGGAAGCTTCTCTGTGCAAAACCCATGCCAGCACATTATGCCTCATTACAGAGCTACTCAAGCTACAGGAATGTGATTGTCTCCTTGTCTGGGCATGTATCTCCACAAAGAAATGTGTGTACAGTACACCAAGTGTGAAAATGAGACATCCCTCTGAGGCTTTCAGGGACATGGGTACAGCATCCCAGTAATGTGCTGTGAACCAGGAAGGCTCAGCTCACAGAGCCCACAGGGGAAATTGTGTGCAAATTCAGGAATTCTTCTGCCCTTTGCATTTCCCTTTGAAAATTGCTCCCTTTGGGATGTCAACATGTGTTGAAGGTGTCTAACCATAGGTACTTTGACATGGAGTTCTTTGTCTGCATGCCATAAACACTAAGCAGCCATCCATAACACAGCACAGAAGAAATAAAACTGTACTTGTTAAAGCAGTCAGGTTTCAGGTCACAAGATTCTATTTTCTTTTTCCTGATCAGCCTGTGTTTGAGGCCTGCTTGCAGGGAGACAGGACTAACACTTCATCAGTGATTCCTTTCCTAATGAAATGGAAACTGGCATCAGGAATGGAGGAGAAAAACCCCAAAACCTGTGCAAAAAAAGGCAAGATAAATGGCTGGCTTACTGCAAAGCATGAAACAATGGGACTAAATGAGATACATTCCTGACAAAGATCTCTTCTGTTCTCTAAAAGGCTTTCCTTGTACCTGGAGATATGTTTTATCTTTAAAAAGTGGTCTTTATTTTATGTGAGCTCTCTCCCCCTCACCCTCTTTTCTGCTTGCTGAGATTTAAGTAAGCTCTTGTAGTGCTCTATCTCTGATCAGGCTTAAAGATTTGGAAAGCCCCGAGTTTGCAAGGATAAAAAAGGCCTTTGTATCTAGACATGATAGATCTGATTCATCACCTGTGCTGGACATAACCACACAGCCTATGCCACAGATTGTCTTGATAACAAGCTCTGGATTTTTCTTGGCATGCATCTTCATGTAAAGGTCAAAGCTCTTCCAAAGAAAGAGGAATTGCTGGGTTAGGGAAAAGATAAAAAAATAGTTACATTATTTTGACAAAGATGGAGCCTTCACTAGGGCCAGAGGACTTAGAATGAGCTCAGGGGTCATGATTCTGCCTGAAGGAAGGTGCTTTTGAGCTACTCTGGGCTCCAGAGAACAAACAGAGCCAGAGCAGGGCTGAGGTCCAGCCTGGGCTGGGTTAAATGTCCAGCTGGAGCAGGAGGGCTCAGGTCCTGCTCCTTCCCCACTTGGAAGCAAACAAATCCAAAACCAGGGGCATTTCAGCCCAGTCCCTGCAAGACCCTGACCTTAGGGATGAGGAGAGAAGGACACCTCAGTTCAGTGGATCCCCAGCCCTGCTCTGGCTTTGTCTAGCTAAAATGAGCACCTTCAGCTTCAGAGTGAAATGCCTTAGTCTCGTATTTCCGATTTTCCATTTCTTCCCTTCATAACTGAGCAATAATCTACTGCCCAAGATGTGCTAAACTTCATCTGCCCTCAGTTAGGGCACCTCTCTGGACAGCAATTAGGCAATGACTGCTGCCACTTAATGGGGATGGTTATTTTCACTTCACTGGGGTGTTTTCCAATGCCTTGTGTGGATCTCTGTGCATTGTCTGTTCCTGGCTTTATGTGACATTCCAGCACTGGGACATGCAAACAGAGCTTTTCCACCATGTCTGCTTACTCCACCTTCCTGAAACAGGCAGGCTCCATCAATATGGAAATATTGATGGAAATACCAACATTTCCTTCTCAAATCCCTGTGGTCAGCTAACAGCATAGGGATGCCTTGCTCTCTGGGGAATTTCTTGACCCAGCACACAATCTCTTTCCTTTCCTCCCCACATTTTGGCATTAAATTCACCAAGAACAGTAAAACAAGGCCCCTGTTATGTGTTCAAAGCACTGATGGCTCTGTGCAGCAGAATTGAGTTTCACCACCCAGCAGCAGCAGGGCTTGAGCCCCAGGAGAATGCGATTAGCAGCAGATCTAATTCTTTTCTCCAGGCTGCCCCGTAATCTACTCTTTGACACCAGCCTAATCTTTTTATCACTCTGCACTGAAATTTCATGATCTGGAAAATTATTCCACTGTGGAGTCAGCTGTGTGTGAATAACTGATTTGGTTTGGGTTGCTTTGGTTGTAAGAGTGGATCAAAAGGAAGCCAGGCTCACCATTTGACTGAGAATCAAAAAGCTGAAAAGCAGTTTTCCCTGTCATAAAGCATTAGTAATAT